GAAAGTTTGATAATGTACTAAGTGATTGTCAAAATATTTGACAATGTCCAAACATTTCCTAGGAACAGACAATGACATCATGACTGAGCTGTGTGAGGTTTTAGACTACCTGTGATGATGACAAAATATATCACCATATACTTAAAGGTAAACAAGATGGAGAAAGAACACCTAGAAAGACTGCAGAGGATTCGTAAGCTGGATGCAGACAATGGCAGTCACATATCGCCCCCTGCAAAGAGGCAGCAGATCTCCTCTGCCAGTGCAAATGAAATACTAGCAGCCTCATCATTTAGTATGATCTCTTCAAACACGATTTCTAGAACACTGGGAGGAAGTTGTGGAAATAACTTTCACGGCTGAAAGAAGTGGCAAGTGAGATTGATTCAAGAACATGTACAACCAATGAATGGCTTGCTTAGGGTAATAAGCAAATATTGGAGCTGGCTGTTCAAAAGTTAACAACATGAGAGTGAAAACATACAGCTGTCAGTGTTCAGCTACCTGCTGGTTTGCCATTGAGCTTGGCCCACTCCATCCAGAGGCGCAAAACATCTGCCTCTAAGGCAAGAGTGGTGACATCTGCTTCCTGCAGGCAGATTTCTGTTTTCCTGTTTTCCTTCATGTGCTGATGGACTGTGGGTGGCAGGATCTGTGTGCTTGATGACATGCTCCTCACACAGCATATTGTGTTTTTTCTCCTGGTGACTAGTATTTAACTTGACCGTCATCAGCTGATCATTTGTGAGCTGATACAGAGAGAGCTTCTTGGAGTATATACTATCCAAGTCGTTGTTGAGCCCATCAACTTGCTTATGAACTTCCATACGGAGGTGTTTTTGAGACTGAACTTGCTGGTTTGGTTAATAGAGATGTTTGCGCAGTCAGAGAGGATGATTAGGATGATGATGTTGGCATAGAGCTTGTGCAGGACTTCTGGGGCATTGCAAAGGTAGCAGAAGGGGATGAGATGGAGGCTCCTGGTGTTTCTTTCTGGTCCTTGGTTTCAGTGGGCTATTCAGGCTAATAGTGTTGCCGTCATCATAACAAGCATCATCTAAGCCATCCACCCATCTCATCTGCAAGGGGGCTGTCATCATTATGACTGTGGGAGCTAAAATCATCGCTGATAGATGAAGAGGCAGGAGAGTAAGGGCTATCATTGAAGGATGGGGTGGTGGGAGTATAAGAGCTGCCACCATGAAACTCAACACTGGAGGGAAGGGGTAGATAATTGAAAATGTGGGAGCTGGTGTAATTGTCTGTGTGAGCACTTGGAGGTGGACACATAAAATTCCATTGCAAGTGGCTACCACCACTGCCTCTAGGAGCAGATGGACCAAAGATATGGCAGCAACACCACCTGCATGAGCGCTTAAATGAGGGTAGCCTGCTAGCACCCATTTTGAGAGTGCCGTGAGGGGTGAATTTTGTTGGGGAGCCAGCAATACCACTGGCTTAAGCATGTAGGGGGAGGGGTGCACACTGGAGCCACATGGGGGAGCCATGGCCTTGGGCAGAGGAGGCATGCTCAGTATTTTACAAGCCAGTGCTACTACCTGTAGCAGTGTTGGAGGAAGCAGGGAGACGAACGGAGTCTCCTGAAGGATGTGTGAGACTAAAGAGATCACTTGCATTATCAACCCCTGGCTTCAATATTGATGTTTTGGTGGTGAAAGCTGGATGGGAACCCCAGATGGAGTAAAGCTGATTATACCTTGGAAAAATCCTTCTCACATTTGCCTGCAAATGTATTAGAAAGATTTTTATACGGTGAGCAGAAGACTGACTCACAATGTAAATTCACACTTGTCTCTAAATCAATGGGTGCAGAGGCTTTAATCAGTCTGATCAGCACCAACAACAATAGACAGAGGGGGGAATCACTTATGCCACAATGTGATTGTACACAAAGTGTCAAAATTTGGTGGGGTTCACAGCATAGATGGGTCAACTCGAGGGTAGTCCAGATCAAGGCGGGGTGGTCCTGGATGTCCTCAAAGTGCAGCCTCTGGTCTGTAGAACAGTAGAGAAAGAGTTCACCTGCAGCCTTGTCCAAGGTACAAGAACACAGCAGAGATGTTCAAGGGACTTTAAAGTGAAGTGCAAAACAAGAACTGGGCCAATGCAAATCTGTGACTGACTGGAGACCTCCATGATAGTGGTGGGGACATTCAATACCAGGACATTATTGGCAGTTTCAAATTCCTAAGACACAGTAACCGCCTCAAGGATATTGAGAAATGGTCATGGTGTGGGGGTGTCACTAAATTTGTTCAGTGAGGGACAATCCTTTGTGGTCTGGTTCTAGGCTGTTTGACCGTCATCTAGTGAACTGAATGCTGATGAGCAGGAATTATGGACTGTGGTGAAACTTAAACCAGATAAGGAGGCAAGCCTTCATATACATTGCAATCCAGGATGCATTGTATCTCATCTGGGTTGTTGATACCCGAGATTAAATCACTCACTGTGCCTTCCACATGAGGACAATGAGATTCTTTGGTACACAGCTCCAGATCTAACAAATAATGTGTTAGTGTTTCAGTATGAATGCAAGAGTCAGTCAGGACAAGTACCATGCATATCCACCACAGTGGTGGAATATATACTGTAGTGTTTCAGAAAGTCAAGGGCAGGCTTTGCTGCAGCACAAACAACCACAGCCTTTCCATCCCTGGGACTGTTCTGTATTTCTGATAGCAGAACATCCATGGCTGAGTTTAGAGGTGTCACCAATGTAGAACCAGGTTTAGAAGCAGGAAGTGCAGCCTTTTTCTGACAAGTTGCTCATCATTGACTGATATGTTTCGTCCATCGCACATCAGAGTAGGAAGTACTGTAATGTGACCATTAGCCTACTTCACGGTCTTTGCTTCCCGGGGCACCTGTGATCCCAGGAGGCCAGATCATGTCAATCAGCTATCTGCACCTCACAGCCAGAACAATATGAATGTGATCTTCATTGAAGAACTTAACAGTAGAAGTAACATTTACCAAAAATGCTAAGTCCATCATGGATACCATTTTCATGAAATCCAAATTTACCCCACTCTTGCAATAGCACAAAGTGCTGAGGGACAACTTTTGAAGTTGGGGCATAGCCCATGCAAATCATCGTCATCCAGATAGCATTGAAGGAAGCCAGGTAGACATGTGTGAATATCAACCAATGCAGAAGTGGAGGGATCAGATTCTTCATTGACAGTACCTGATACTGAGAAGAGCCTTGGTGCCCAAGAATACAATGCAGAGGCCAAGTGGACCCTGCTCTTCAATACTGTTCAAGCTAGCATGTACTAATGGCATGTCGAGAATTGAAAAACTCAATAATGGCAAGCATGAGGCCAAATGTGAGGGACATCTCGAGGGCCATCTGGGTGCAGTAGTTGCATCACAGCCGCTTTGTTGAAGGTGGGTAGCCATATGAGGTCTGTGCGAGCATCATTGAATTGATGATGCGACCATATGCCTGGATTCAAATCAATTATTGAATGTTCAGTACAAAAAACAACACATGGTTGAATATATGTTTGAAGTCAAAGTCAAGTGTTACCTGCAAATGGGACCAATGGTCGGCATAAGGGAAGTGAAAGTTGATTTGGAACAGAGGGTGCAGAGAGACAGAAGGCCGAGGCTATGGTTGAGTGTGAACAACAATTGACGTCCACGAGTCTAAAAACAAGAGTTGTGATATCCAAGTCATCAGCACCGTATCCTCGTGGGTGGTACACACCGTCTAAAGTGTCTTCCAGTTTGTTGACAATTTCTCAGACACTTGCACCGTTGCGCATAGAAATATTGACAATCTGGTGGATGCGAGGGATATCATTATGGAAGATTGCCATAAGAAGCCGGCTGTAGTCATCTAGTTGTGTTAGAGCATGTATATATCTGCGGGAGTCATTACAGGCCTAGAAAGGATAAGTGAAGAGGCCCGCAGGCAGAAGAGTAAATGTACCTGCAGCTTTAATTCATTGATTTGATCCACATTTTTTTTGACTAAGTCCCGCATATGTGCGAGATCTAAAAATTTGTAGTTGGTGTGGGCCTTTGGATTACGTGTGATGTCAATGAGTCAGTAGATGTATGAGTAGACTTCCCCGCACTCGTCACATAGGTAGTCTTCTCGAATGGTAATATGAGTGCAAAGTTATGATCGAGCGTGCGGTAGTCCAGGAACCATTATGTCTATGGTAAAGGGTAATCCGTCAGGTCCATCATGATATTGTGCCCAGGGACAAAGCATGAAGAAAGCTTGAAGGTCCTGAGGCCAGTTGATGGGAATCCCGGGGCACGTAGTGTGCTGGTTAACAGAAATTGTGATGTTCTGATGAGGGCTGTTGATAACAAAGTCATTGACATAACGATCTTCGGATATGAAACTAAATGAAGCTGAAATGAAAGCACCTGTCTTGATCGGAAGGACTCAGACAACGAGGCTCAGGCTGATCAGCCGAAGTACCAGCAGCCCTTTGAAATGTCTGGATTTGCTTTCTTGCAGCATTCACAGCACACTTCTTGCTTCGTTGGTGGTTAGCAAGCAATTTAAACTAACCAGAGGCATATAGAGGTAGGCCAGTGTGTACACTGGTTTGACACCAGTCGTCGCATTCAGGGTGGAGTATTCTCCATTGGTCTCCGAACTGATCTGAAATTTGAAGCTGATCTGCCCTGAATAGAGCATGCAGTGGCTTGGGGGTATGAGTTTGAATTGTGCCTCAATGTCAATATCCGAGACCAAGATCGCAGCTGAGACCAAAGAAGATCGGCTAGATCAAGTACAACGTAGCATTGGGAGAAATGTAAGACATAATGAATACGTAACATGAAAGACGGGGAACAGAGAGAGGGCATGTAACAGATATGAAATTCAAAGGAGAGACTCACTATATGTTTGTAATGTCCTTGATCTTCCATTTGGAAAGGTTGTTGTTGTCCTGTGCCATACTGGTGCATCACATAAATAGGGAGGGAGGGATTTTGTGACAACACAAATGCTAGGAACATGACAGCCATGTGAAAGTGATGAGTCTGGTGTCGCCATGCTTTCTGTCATTGATGAGAGGAGCTTCATCGGCAACTGTGAGGTCCTCCATGTTTTCCCGAGGACAAAAGGCCAGCCAAAGTTCTGATGATGGGCCAGTTCCAAGGGCCATCATGCAGCCTGTAGGATCGAAACCAAGTTTGCTGAATTTTGGACGGAACTCATGGCATTGAAGACAGAGGTTGAGGGAGATGGAAAATGTGTGACCAGCGACCTTATTTGGAATGAACATGTCCAAACCTATGGAACCGATGACAAGTAAGAAGTCAAGAAAATGTTTGGACCCATCCCAAGCCAACATCTCATTGTCCGAGCGATAGTGTAGGTCGCTGTCCATGCGAAGGTTATTCCTGCGGTGCAATAAATTTATCGCATTGGCCTTGTCACCCATCTCGAAGGTACGAGCAAGGGTAGACAACCTGACAGAATAGACTTTGGTCTGTTCCCAGGTATGGCCAGAGGGTTGAAGTCCCTCCTGGTGCAAGAAGATGCTCTCAAATACCTCGCTTTGAGGCAAAGCATCTTCAGCCTCAACAGAGGACGGAACATCAGCGAGATTGAAAGGTAAAGTCTCGTCCTGATCGCCCTGGCGCGTTGCATCGAGGGTGATGGTATCAAGTGCATTGTCGTTAAGGTTGAAACTTGGGGGACACGTCAACATGGAATATTGTGATGTATGTATGTATTTTTCACTCACTCATTGTCTTCAGAGTCTGACATATTATTGAAGTTCAAATATTGTGGGGACAAAGGGCAAAGGGGGTTGGATGAAGGATGTCACAGAGTAGGAGAAGGGAGAGAAACTAATAACAGAATATGCAAAGACAGGATGTTAAAGCCCCCCAGCATGTTTTAAACGCGCTGTTGATGAGACACAGGATCTGGTTAGGTTATAGCAGGGCTGATTGGCAATCAGGGCTGCCCACAGAAGATTAAGAAGCGAACATGCACAATGTGAAAAACATTTTGAAGCATCGGTACAACAGCGGTCTGTGAGTCAGAGGACACAATACAGGGATGGGTACGAGCGAGCACATGGGCATGGTATGTGTCTTTATGTTGAAAAAAATGAGGGAGGGCGTGAGTTGGTTGATTTGTTCAGGGTTGCAATATGAGCGGAGCATCATAATTAGGTGAAAACCAAACACGAGGTTCAGAATGGAGAGCCATGGTTGGAGATGGTCGGAAAGGCAGCATTAAGCACAATCAATTTAGGTTAGCAGGAGTAAATGGGGTAGCAGGAATTGTAAGCATGTCATAAGATGCGGACGGAGGAGATGAGATGAGATGAAATAAGATGATACTTAGTGAGGATAAGAAAGGTTGAGATACAAACCAAAGGCCAGAGTATGATGAGGATGAGGTCTGGCAAGCGACAGATATGAATGTTGAAACAAAGAGAGAGGCAGAGATGAAGACTTGAATGAATGCACCTGCAGTCTGCAGAATAGAAAATACATAAAATTGGCAGGTGAGCGAGGAAAGTAGACAGGATGTACTAGTACATGGCGTGAAACACATACTGACGGGTGCAACGGGTCATGCATAAGGCAGTTGGACTGGGAGCGAAAGAAAGACATAATGCGACTTATAAACTCACTGTGAGATTACAATTGGTGATGAGTGAGTGATAGTATCACTATCCGCAGGATAGGGGACGTGTGATGCAGGAAGGCTACTTTGGTCTGGCCATCAAGGTAAAATTTCTGTCTTGCTGTCAGTGTGTGGCTCCCTCAGAGAGCCGGCGACGTATTGTGTTGAAACTCGCTCCGTCATTGATGGCTACAGCCATTGTGCTATATATGCATGTCAGTCATTGGTCCCCTCAGGGAGCCGGATACTCATGCTGAGCCTGTGATTTGAGCCATGACACTCATGTTAATCTCGAGCTCCGTGTCGTCGAGGAGCACGGGGAGGATTGCCATCTTGTAAGGCATCAATGTGTCGTTGATCTTGCGGTTGTCGAAAGTCTGTGACTCCACTGTCCGTCGAATGACCCGACCACTGTAACCACACTTGATATCCAGTTGCTCGATGTAGTGCGAATGCGGACCCTGGCTTCAGGCCCATCATCGGTGTTGGACAATCCACCGGCCATCAGATGAATGGTGTGTGCAGTGGCATCACTTTTGTCCTCTTTCATTATTGCTCGATGTGCGGCGCGCAGTTGCTTCACGTGAGCCTTGTCGTGTTCGTCGCCAGCTTTGCCCATGAAATAAGGAATCCTTGCCAACCGGCCAAAGTTGCAAAGGTCCTGATATTCATTAAGTGAGTGGACACGACAAAAGTGTGAAACTTACCATTGGCCCTGTGTACAATGGGGTGCCCGTGGCAAGCAATTTCACGAGCGCTACTTTTGTGATTTCAAGGGTCACGGTGAGATTCCGCATCTCATGGACCTCATCGACTGACATGGTGAGGAATTTTTGAAGAGCCCAGATGCATTTGGTGGCCTGCTTGCGTTTCTGCAGAGAGCATGTGTTGTGCAATGCCTTATTGCTATTGTGTCCAGCGAGACCTTTGCGAGTGTCAAATACTTTGCCGCTCGTGCCCATGGACTTGAATAAGGTTTTAAGTGAGTACTTGCAGGTCAAGTGATGTCAGCAAACTTACGGAGTGATTGACTAATATGATACGGTGAATAAGTGGAGTGGCTGACATTGTTGCAATGGGAACTGAATGGGCCGCTTCTAGAGGCTCCTAGAGTCCAGAGTAAGTTGCCAATGTATTCAAGCATAGTAAAGGTATACAGTACCTAGAGTCCAGAGTAAGTTGCCAAAGAGGCAGGGAGCACTGGACTCTGGGATATGGGCGATGTATGGTAAACAAATGTAAACAGACAAGCCATAACACAAAGGTAAGGAATAACTCGACCTAGACAAGTCCTAGGGAGGTCAGGAAAGTGAGTGGTCAGGGAAATATAGGTAATGAATATGTACGTATAGAGACCATGAAAAGGATTGAAAGTGTACTGTAGAGGTGAATGATCATATAACTAACAGACATCGCCCAAGGACCGTTGAAAAACTCGCCAAACTTGTTCTCCACAGTGGGATACTTGGTCAAGGCCGTCTTACCAACGCCCACCTTGTCTGCGACAACAATACCTGGAACCTTGTCCTCCTTCTGGCTGGCAGACCAGATCTTATTGACGATCACCACCACACCAACACACTGATGCCACAGCAGCAACAACGGATCCATGTCGTCGTTGTCTTTGAGGAACTTCGACGATGTGCCCTCGTCCCACACGCACAAACCAATTTTCGACCGAAATTCGTTGAATAGCGCTGGCTTTCCACCTGGGAACTGCAGGAGATGGTTCAACTTATCGTTGTCCATCTCCCACCATCATCGACCCCAAGGTCCTCAGATGTGTCATTCCACGTGTTTCTGCTGCTGTCTTCATGCTCCTCTGCGAGTTCTGGTGCGTCCAACTCAGCAGGTTTGGTCTCAAAAAGTTGAACATACAGCGCCCAGATCTCCTCAACGTCACCAGCTGCGACCAGAGACGTGGTCTTGATCTTCCGTGCCCACTGAGCACCACATTTTCCTGCCAAGCAAGGTGAGTTTCACATTGCAATGGCTCCCTAAGGGGACCGCACTACGCACGGCCAGGTGTGGGAGACACTGTATTTGAGGGATGTGCAGGTGCGGTCCCCTTAGGGAGCCGCTACTCATCCTTGCCTGCCTTATGTGTCAGCACACTCAGTTACACTTACCACTGTAAGTGAAAGATCTGTGGGAATTACTTCATCCCTCGCATGACAATCACATGGTTTAAACCAGCGTCGTGGATGTACATTTTTATCCCTTTGTATCTTCAATGAACCCAAATGCCTAGTGTTCGCTACAGTGGTGACCGCGGAATTTTGGACATCTCACACTCGCACTTGCATAACATCACAGCAGTGTGATCATTCTTCAAGATCCTCCACGATGGCCACTGTAGCCACCGCGGAGTTCCTATGTTTTACATAACTCACCTGAATCATTCTTCAAGGTCCTCCACAATGGCACTCGAGCCATCGTGGAGTTCTTATGTTTTAGCGATATCAAACTGACTTGTCTTATAGCTCACAGACGACATGGTTGTTGAGGAAGGACAACGTCCAGGATCTGCACGACCAGATTATAGCCCATTGGGATGCGTGGGTCGACAATGCACCCCATTCTTGGAAACAAGATGGCTGGCTCCTAGATTGTGTGCCCATGGCCATATCATGTCGATATGGCCAGAACCAACCCATTGCCAACTTTAATTCTCAAACTAACACAGTCGAGGCCAAGAACTGGCATGCAGAAAGATCATATGCCAATGTTAGATACCTGTCCATGGCCATAGCCACAGATATATTGTGTGTATTCTCATCTTTTATGTTCTTACTTCATTCCACGCATTAATACTCCTGTTCCCAGATGCATGTGTGTAAAGTGTTGGGAGGAGGTCCCAGATGAAGAGCTTGTCAACACCCATGGTGTTCTGTACGATTCCCCAGATCCTGACTTCCGTCAAGAGGTCGATTTTTCTGATCTTCCCCATTGAGATCCAGAGATGTGAAGAGAGAACAATGTTTATGATGAAGATGGTCGTCGCATTCCTCGTCTCCACGGGCAACTGGCTCGCAGTGCCAAACCATGTGGTCTCCTCATTAACCTGGAGACCATCTCAGAGCTCTTCTCATCCAGTGTTCCAGATTACCACAACATGGACCTCGATGGTGATGATCCCTTCGCTGCAGACCAACATGCCACTCCCACAGTCGATGTCTACCCCCAGGCTTTCCTGTGTAAATACGGTCATGTTCAATGTAACACTGTGCTTCCCCATTTCGCTCCATTCATAACAAACATCTGTCGCTCGACTACTCGCAGACCCAGGCCAGCAGCAGAATTGGACGATGAGGAACCGCTTCCCGACGAACATGATTTGTTTGGTGATCACCAGGACGATGACAATCTCATTCCTCCTGTCCTCATTCCCAGCACCTGTCAGTTCTACAATGAGATATCACATCACATTCGACCATCTGCAGCCCTTCACAATGTTTGGCAGGGTCGCATCACCTCTGCTTTGTCTGGAGCCTTCGCAAGAACGATGTGATGTAACACGTCTTGATCAGAAATATCAGAGCTCATCATTTTTCATATTGTGTAATTACAAGATTAACAATTTCACCCCATTTCATCATGTTGGGTTTTCACTGGGAGTGAACGCCCATAGTGCGCGAACCCACGAGCTGCGCTCGTGGGAAGGGCAGAGACAAGCACAAGCATAGACGGACACGACGGTGGACACGACGGTGGGCACGATCATCAACAGTGAATGCCCATGAGGTGCAAACCCACTCATGGTGAAGGAAGAAGGGAGAAAAAAAACTCAGTGCACGGTATTTGAACTTCACATCATGTGAGATTCTCACGACCCTCCGGCATCTAGGTAATACAGAATTTCACTGCGATCACGTGCTGAGGTGCATGTAATATCACACTTGTTCGCAATTTGATAGCTGCACGGAAAGAACAGCAAATAGTATATATGTTGCATGGGGGAGCAACATCAATGATCAATTTGGTGAATGGAAGCACCAATTGCTACATGGAGAATGTGTATGATTGTCTTCCCAGTCTGTGTGACAGTTATGAATGGAGACATATATATATGACATTAGAATCATATCAACAGAGGTGATGAATAAGCGCAGAGATGAAACAGTTACAATGTCAATGATTCTCTCAACAACCGAGCTAGTTCTGTCTGATCGACCTGACTGCCTGCATAATGCTGATTACCCACACGTAGGATATTGCGAGCGCTGGTACATCCAGATACCCCTAGATACTTGCAAACGATGTCAGATATATCGCTACTTGGCTAGGCAGTCTCACTATCTTCCAGGGGTGTATTCCACCCAGACGCAAAATGACTTTGTCCTTGCTTGGTGATGATACATAGGCAGAGGAACGACCTCTTCCAAAACACTGGTTCAAGTGTAGATGTAAGCATAAATATCAGACGGGAATTGTATCCCCTTACTGATCTCCCTCGCAACAAATGGCAGCGCAATGACCATTCGACGCAGGGTTTCCAATGTGTGTTCGAGAGTGTCATTATTCACAAACTCCCTGACTCCTGCATCAATGTCCCATGTAAGCTCCGTAAGATGCATGCAACTGTAATTGTAAAAATTGCCTCCTGTAGCAAATGACGTGATTGGTGTATAGACACTACACCAAACACTGGGTGGAATTTCCCTTGTATACTTTAACATCAGCAAGAGAAATTCCAATGATATTGCAAGCTTACAACATATTGCCTGGGTGAAGTGTTATGACCTCTCCATCGCAGTTCTGCTGTACCATCTCTTGTGTTTCTTGAAATTAGAAAGTCTAACAGTGAGGGTCCTGCAGATTGATTCGATCCCACGCTAGGCCTTTCAGCCAGAAGATCACCCAGAATGTTAGTCCAGCCTCCAACTTGACCCATGACATCGTCCCTTGAGCATTGTGGTGAGGATAAGTTAGGAATCCTGCATGGTGTAGTTGTACCAGGGGTGGGACGTGCTCAGGCATGAGGTTTTCAAGCTTCCGCATTGACATTAATTGCAACCTCTGAGGCATGGCAAGCAAATACCAGCAGGAGGAAGTATGTCAGCAAGGGTTTCAGCACACTTCAAATTGCGAACATACAGTAATGCCTCTTTCAGATGTGTGCAAGATGCTGGACTTGTCACGGGTTCAACCCAATGCAATGCAACCATGTTCTCCCATTTTTTCACAGTTTCGCAGCTTACTGAAGGCTAGTGAATCACCGCCCTTGCAGGCCCCATCACTGCTTCTGCAGGTCTTAATGCTGTGTCTCAAAGCACAAGGCTGGCGCAGAAGATAGTCTATGATTGAGTATTGTGGTGCAGCGCTCCTTGTTCTCTCCCAAGTCAGTGGAGCTTCAGTCGTGTAGTGCAGTTGACCTGCACCTCTGTCTCTCTCTCCTTTTGTCATTCTTTTGCAAGATCCAGTGCTTTTGCCACAGGCCTCTGCTTCAACTGCACTGTCCTTCTTGATTTCAGGAAAGAGGAATATGCTGCAGCTCACGCACACCTTATAAGCGACGCAGTGAATAATGACCAGGCAGCCAAGCTTTTAGCTGACCTAGCTCGCGCAAAACCAAGCTGACAAACAGTGCTGGGCAACCACACTTGAGGAAGAGTCGTTGAGGAAGAAGTCGAGCATCATCAGGCCATTCTTGAAGAGCAAGACATCCCTTCCCACCCTGTCATCCTCCCTTGCCAATTTGCAGTTTACTGCAAGCTCTTCTACTTCACCAACAGCGGACTAGAAGAAGCCTCCACTGCCAATGCAGACACCCTCATTGCAATGACGACTGCAGACAGGTCACACAAATGGATACTGGCCAGTGCTGCCTGGGACGAGAGGAAGAAGGAGATCGCACAGTTGGAGGAACTCAAAAGCCAGATGGAACTTGAGAGGTAGAAGGAACTCAACCGTCTCAAACTCAAACATCTGGAACACAAACATTTGGAGGAGAGTGAGACAAAGAAGGAATGAGAATGCTTGGAACGGTAATCACTCAAGGCCATCACGTCAACTCCCTCGACCTGAAAGGAGAGTCATCATTTAGTGGCAAGGGTCGAAGTCCATGTAAAATACTTACAGACAAGTGACTGTAAAGAAATTTGTAATTGGCCACTAAACTGTTGACCCAATTTGCACACTCGACGACATGAGTCAAAATCCAGGTTATAGTTTGTATATACAAATGCTCTCACTGTCATGGTCATCTTGTTGGATATTTCTGTGAGCACCGGCTCGTCAATGACACACCATGCAGAATCACCACAAAATCCTCCGAGGGTAACCACAGTATCATTTTTGCTTATTTATCACTGTGTGCAAACTCTACACATATCCCCCTCATACTGATACCAACCACATGGTGGTGATGGACTGGCTGCTACTCTGTCAGATCTCAGCTTGTTCATAGCCCATTCCTTGATGACTAGACTGGGCAGTGGTGGCCCTACTCAATCTCCTCATCCATCTGTCGCGGCATTGGACATGCCCCTGGATAACCCAATTGTTAATGACCATAATGTGCAACAGCCTGGTACTCTATAGCATCATCACATCCAAAATCAAGGACAATCAGGCCATACCATAGTCATTCAAATATCAAAAATCAGACCACATCACAGCAAATCAAGTCCACTCGCATGCAGAGCTACCACATGCAAGATTATGATAGCTCCCTTCAACAACAACAGCTGACATGTTCAAAAGAACATGTATGCTAAGATGCTACCCACTAAATTTTAGTGTTCGGGTGTGATTTTCGTAAGCATGTGAGCAAAGTCAATGATGTGTCAATATCAATGTGATGTGTCTCGTCGACATCTTGCATCTCTCTCCTTGCAACCACCATTCAATATGTATTCTATGACCCATCAGTCTGCTCGCTACAATTCCTGGTTTGCTTCCGAAGACGACAACAGAAGTTATCATATCACAGACCTCAAGGACAATTCATATCATACCAATGCATTTCGGATCAACAGATCCCATCTGCACATCATCCGGACACTCCCAAACCCCATCCACAGACTTTCAAGTATTGTTAGATTCAGACAATCCATTAGTAGTAACTATAGTTTAACTCACCTTCACTCTCTTTCTTGCCAATCATCAACAGTAGCCATCGTGGATCAAATTCAAAGTCTAATATAATAGTCACATGCTATATCACGTGGTGTTCGTGGACCTGATAATGCGAACATGAGGGAAACCAAATGGGAAACAGAACATGAGGCAGAAGGAGAGAGAAAAAGAGGGTAAGTAGCAATTGATCCTCCTTCCCAACCTACCACCACAATAAACTGATCTCTGACCTACATATCCACTGATCTGCGCAGTACAATGGGAGGAAAAAGAGCTAAGAAGGGGGGAAAGCAGTGCAGTACATTATAAAGTGTCTTTAAAATAGAAAGAGAAGACCTATGTTGGGTTTTATGTGCATCTAATGTCTAATCAGGAGCCCGGTGGATCAAACCTCCACCTACACTTGGATATCAGGCCAATTGAAGTGATAACCCCACAGAACGATGTGGGGAAGGCTACCCAGAAGCTGGACACACAAGTCGGCAAATACAAGGCAGGTGTTGCGTGGATCGACTTGTTGAAGATGGCGAAGCATTTGAAGTTCGGTGTTTATAACGACCGAGCGGAAAACAAGATCAAACGGAACAAACTAATCATGTTGTTCCAGCAATCTGGGATCCTGTCTATGAAAGACACAGCTGCGATTAAAAGCGGACTCGCCCTTTCAGTTGACTTCAGCGAGCCAGATGCAGTCCGAGAGCTTGAACTGTTCAAGAGGACAACGACAAGATTATTGTTGTATCAGGCCAGCATGGCCTGGCAGCATTAAAGAAGTACAGCCAGATGCTGAAAGACGAGTACGCTGTGCTGGAGAAGAAGAAAGACAAGATCTCCGGGTTAACGAACATGTCAGTTGAACATGTTGCTCAATGGGACGACTTGCGTGCACAGATGGGTGTCCTCCTCAGGAAGATGGACAACATAGGGAAATGGGGGGTGATCGTCTATAATCAAAGTAAGTCTTCTGTTTTTCAATCATTCTGCGATGGCTACAGTAGCCATAGCGGAGTACCGTGTATATGTGTATATGTGTATATATGTTACATGTATGTGTTATATACATGTTTGTGTTATATAAATGTTGTATTCCACTGTAGCCACCTTTGTGAACGCTGAGTTGGGCACTGGTGTATGTGTGATGCAATGATAATATATAGAATCTTATGATATAGTAGTTGTATGTTGATATAATCTCATTTTTTGTTGCATTAGCGGCTCATTATATGCATTATTCACAGGTTTCGACAGTGTGTTCTGCACCAATGTGTGTTAGTATTTATGTCTGAAATTAAAGTCCTTAACATAACCAGTTATGTACCCGAACCTATTTACAAGAATCATATATCATGCCCATGTCCAGTCCGATATCCAAGGGACATAGTCAAATTGACAATGGCTCTGAGATCATGGAAGCATTTGACGCTCATGAATTCTCCGGTGTCACCAACACATCTGATATTCAGGACTCCGGTGGCTACACTACATTTGGTTGAGGAGGTGGGATATGTGCCTCCAACAATCATTATCCCAGACAGCCCGCCTCCTTACGTCCAACCAGCTATACCTCCATGTCCCGCAGATTCTATTGCAGGCCATGATATGATTCAAGGTCAATCTGACTCCCAGGGTAGTGCTACCATCACTACGGATAATGCACCTGTTGCTGGAACATCTGTAGAAGGGAAAAGTGTCTCCAACACTGAGTGGACTAACAAGGAATATGATGTGCGTAACCTTGTCATTCCGGCCATATAAGTGAATCCTGTCTAATAGGCATGGCTGGACAAGATGACCGGCAAGTCCACCATGTCAGCGGCCTGAAATCAAGGGTTATGATCAACATACCACATTTTTTTTTACTTCGATCTCGCAATGCTTTGCACTGTCAGAGAGGTATATCTGGATAGCTGTTTAAATTGTCATCTTATATTTGATGAGATCCTGATGGCGTCGTGGGGATCTTTCTGTAAATTGTTAGGCTGTATGGACTAGAAATTCTGTAATGCTCATTTTTGGGTGCCAAGGATAATGTAAGCAACAGTTTTGGTGGTCCAAAATTGCAAATGCTAGCCCTGACACCTCTCATTAACAAACCACCATCTGAGATGCAAAATAGGGCACTGGGGGCCCTTAGATTTAGCACGTACTGTCCTACATAGAGCTCGCTCTGAATGGACATAAATTGGAATTAAAAAAATAATAATAATCAAAAAAAAAAACTATGGCTTCAAATGATGACCTCGATCTTACAATTGGTGTGCTCAGCCAGCATGTGCCACATACCAGCGGGACCATCTTATGTTCAGATGGACACAAGAGCGTACTTCCAGTAGTACACAAAGACAACACAAACTGTGGATGCAATCTATGCGACATCATTGACATACCATTAATCCATTTCATGGCTCAGTTCCAGAAGTCATATGCCTCTATGACCAACAACATTATCCGGATGCAACATTGGGCACTGGATGGGACATGCTTTCCAGAATTGGTCTTGAGTTCTACTTCACAAAACAAATGTGTTCTAATCACAGGCTTTCCGCACTGATCACCTAGGGGCACACTCTTGACTGCTGAATTCCTTCAAAATGAATTTTCAATCTCACCAAACCAGCCAGTTTCCATACATGGTATGTATGAGTGCAGGATTCTACTCGATTACAATTGATATTGATTGGTATTGCAGATATGAGGATGCAATGCAAGGGCCAGGCAGACCCAACCATTAGTGGTTCAGTCAGGTCATTTATGGACTCCATTAATGATCCCAGCAAGATCCAGGCTATCTGTGATATGCCACAAGTGCACATTAGCATGCCATATCGGATGAGGTGCGAATGTCATACAAATATGTCTACCACCACTGAATAATGCTGCTACAAAGGGCACTCGATCATGGCCTGACTTACGAATGGAACGAAACTACGTGTGTTGTTCCTATTAGATCCAAGGTTCATTCACAGAACTTCACAATAGCAGGAGGGGTATTACTGTGCCTCATCTCTCCTCCTGCCCCAAGGCTCAGCCTTGCCACCATTCTATTCAGCTTTTTAGTAATGATTCAGTCTCGTTCGCTTTGCAACAAAGAGAGGTATTTGATGGTATCTTCCTTGCTCACAATGGCCAAGACAATACCAGCCCTACATGGGAGCAGACTCCCATCTGCAACATGCCTCTCTCGGCCTTCGAGAGGGTGTTTCGCAGGAAGGACAAAACTGGCGGTGCCAGCTCCTTGATGTGCCACACCAACCTCTGTATTGATTCTCAGTTCACCTATGCCCCTGACGACAGCAGGTTGCTATGGGATGCATCCAGACATTTCCTTGACTTTGTTCTTGTGGCAGGTGCCATAGGCCTGGATGCTTTGCCTTAGTTCCATATATAGGGACATGGTGGTACCCATAGCTGGCCCAGCTCTTGGTCCCATGCCACCATCTTTCAGGCCCTCCGACTGCATCTTTTGTATTGACTTCAGACATGTGCTTTTCTTACTTGTTGGTATGCTGCCCTCATTTCATATATTTAGGCATTTCCACAGATATACCAGTTGACAGCCTGTCCCATCATGTCTCTGCTGGAGCACATTTGGGATCATTTCCGCCCTCTTGTTGAGAAAGGTACCAAACCTTCCCCTCAGGTCATTGAACTCTGTTCGGTACTTGAGCGTGCTTTGGCTTACACTCATATACTGGAAACACCAAGGTAATCACTACAAGTTTCATGAAGCCTTTGCAGTTGGTCCAGAGTCTCCTTGATGACCTGCCCACCTTTTCTCCCACCGTGCGCTTCGCCACAGCTCCCTCTAGCCCTGTTGCCATCAGCCCTGCAGATTGGCCAACTCTCACCAGCATGAAAGTCCCAGCCATTGTGTCAAAGCGCTCTCAAATTTTGACATACAGCATTGACCATCTTGAGGTTTGTGGTTTCAGATCAACTGCCTCTGCGCTCATTCATCCAGCTTGTCTCTCAGGCTTACAAGGCTGAGTTCCACATCCAGCTTTCCATGAATCAACTCTCTTCCAATATCTTGCTTGGATACTAGCAATCTCCGCCATGCAATTATCATTGCATTAGTTGCTTTCCAGGCATATATTGCAGATGTCAAGACACTTGTCACCAGAGCTGTCACTGCTGCCTGCAGTGAGATGGAAGCAGAGGATGCCAGTGATGGGAAAATCCATTTGGTAGTGCGCCGAAAAAGCCTGCGCAAGTGGCTAGCAACCACTAATCCTCTTGGCTATGCTGTTAAAGGACATGAACATTTAGTTTCATGCATGAATTCTAAATCCGCAGATCACCATGAAGGACTGCCAAACCCAACCAATGTGAAACCCTCTGTTCATAATTTTTCTTGGCTTATCTGCAACTCAAGAGAGACCAACCCAGCCCCCATCACTGCTCCTCTCATCTCCACTGGCTGTTCTACGCCTGTCTTCCGCATTGCTCTGGCCTACATGCGCAAATATGCTCGCAATAAGTGCACTCCCAAGAATTTCCCCAAGCAATGGAATGCGAGAACAGTGCGAAAGGGATTGGTCCGCTTCTTCTAGTGGGCTTTTAAGAGCAGTGGGTGGCAAAATCTGGAAAGGCGGATGGCCTTTTGATCATTGGAAGTTGCTCTCAGCAAAGGCCATAGCTGCGAAACACCAGGAGATCACAGCATTCTAGATGATCGCCGCTATGGGCCTTTCCGATTGGCTGTCATGTTTCCCTTCCATGATCGCAGTTGCAGATGGATCAACTTCTGGCGCATTAAACTTCTCTTTCATCCATCCCACTTTTTTGTCTCAGTGGGTGTGAGGCATCTGCCACAATTGAAGCAGTTGTCTTCTTCAGCATCGTCGGAACTCTTGCATACTTCCAGGTTCTTTCTGCAAATCAACATGCTTCATTCTTCACTGATCTGCTTCTTCTTCAATCCAACCCTGGCATACAGTATGTTGGTGGCAGAAGTAGTGAGAATGTGAAGTAGTGGAGGGACAATGTTTTCATTGTCTTTGATATCCTCCACATGTGTAGGATCCCTGAGCCATACTATCACCCCTTCCAAACTGCGCCATTCCACAAATCCCAATAATCCTACATGCTCTTCCACTGAAACTTCCTTCACAAGATGGCGATACAGATAGTATTGTGATACCTGTATCTATATAATGTGTCAATAGATCATTGACTTTGTGCATGTTGAGACTTACCATTTCATTTATGGAGCTGACATATGTCAAATATCTCATCAGTTTTTTCAATGATGTGTCCTTGGACATTGGCGTACATCAGCTACCATTCTAACACAATGTCTGGATGAAAGCTGATGCCAAACATGATCAGACATCTTGAAGTACTTTAAGTGAAGTGGATCACACCTGGTATATGTTACTAAGAGCCTTGGATTGCCAGATGCCCTCTCACTTCATCCAGCTGAACTGATCCTGTAGCTCTATCTTCTGGTCTCTACTTCTTTTCTGCCATTATCTGAGTCAGAATTTGGTATGCCGGAGCTAAATGTACCACCCTGATGAAATGATAAGCACTACATGCAATGTACTTCAAGAGGATGAGGTGCATGAGGAGAGGGTGATATGCTACAGGAAATTTTGAACTCTGGTATACTGGATTGGAATACGCAGGAATCATGGACCACAAAGCATAACACAGCTCATCAGCAACTTGAATGTGAGGAACAATCAACAGCAATAGAAAGTTGCAGAAAATAGTTGAGAAGGAGAATGATACACAACAGAACAAGCCATGCAGGGCACATGGACAACCATCCAAGAAAGGAATTCCATGTTGTCAGTCCCAGAACCACAGCTTTATTTCCATTGAAATGACACTTGAGCACAGGCAGCACGCACAAGACATTAACTTACATGAGATATGTGGACTAGAATGCAGCAACAGCCAATAACATTGAGGATGAAGAACTGGAGCACTTCCAGCGGAATCATTTTGTGGTGCATCATTCCAACCATTTCTTTGTGTTACACGTCTTGGGTTGCCCGCCATATCTCAGCAGATGCAATGGATGTAGATGAGAGAATCCACATGACTGGAACAATTGGTCAGGTCCGGAATATTGGAGGGAAATCAGAGCCCTTCATGGATGGAGCACAGGAGATGTCGCAGACATGTCCATCATGCCTATGGATTGGGAGCAGAATGGAGTTGACTGTGGTCCATCACATGCTCTGTGCTGGCGCTATGCCTGAAGTTGGGTTGAGATGAGCAAGGCAACTGACTGAACTTCGAGATCCAATGTGGTCACAAACTGTGATTCAGATGCTGCATGTCATTGCTGCACATGTCAAGCTCTGTTGCAGCAACTACCTGATGCTCCTGGATAGCCCACAAGATGATTGGCAAGACAATCAGCTACCTGACAAGAATAACATCAATTCAATACGGAATGGGCGATAACAGGCTGATTGCTTTAAGCTCCTGCAGAGGCTAACTGTTGTGAATGCCACCTGCTCAATGTGTCAATGCCCTGACATCCATCAAAATGGAGAGCATGCCTCTCACAGTGGTGAGAATGGAGATAACACCAATGCAGACCAGGATGGTCCAGATGCTGGATTGAGCGAGGACAATGATGCCACAAATATGGTACATGCAATTGGCAAGGTGCACATTGACAAGCTGTTCAAAGCAAACAAACAACTTGCTGGATCTCAGAATCACAATTTAATACTTCAACAACTTGAGCCAGAATTACCACCCGATGTCCATGATACTGAGGACTCACAATGCACTGTAGCTGCCTCAATACCTTGGAGGCAAGTGAAGAACTTGTATCTTGGAAGCAATAGATGATTTCCATATCCAACCACACCAATTCCATTGGCTGCATATGGTGGTAGGGGATGGCTGCCAGACATGGATTCAATGAATATGAGGGCGGAGCTACCATTAAGATGATGCTGACTCCCAGGGATATTGATACAACAATGACATTCTGTGGTGGAGGGATGCAGATCTCCACTGCTTGGTTAGACTGGGTTGATTGCGGCTATCACATCCCACCGAGTTCAATCCCGAGGATGATTCATCAGCACCCAACAAACAGTCGGAGAGAATTACTCTGATGCCAAAGGAGGTCTTGGTCATATGATATATTCTGGGATAAGGGTACTCAACAGCTAAAGACTGCGGAAACCCCTGTGCAAGTATCATCATGGCTTGATGGCTCCCCCATTATCCCACAAAAACACTGGGTATCTGGGTTGTTCAAAAGCCCAAGTCAGGCAATTAGGAAGGTTGGATGCATAATTTCTCTGTAGTTTCCAGACCTAAACACATAAGGCTACCAGTGTGAATAATCGAAGTTGTAATGGGATGATGGATATGCCACAAAAGGTAAGAGATTGCTGGAGTGAATGGGCCCCCGCAATGCATGGAGACCAGGCGGTAGCACGAATGATACACTTTCCACACACATTCTGGATAGAATTGATAGTTGATGTGTCCTCCTGAGTACTCACAACACCTGGCATCTGCTGCTACCTGGAATCTAGTGTCATGTCCATGTAAATAGGGGTCAAGCAGATGTACCCATGGTGCTGCACCACTCGCTTTTTTGGCCAGCCTTATCGTCCTTTAGTTGTCTCGACATTTTGCAATTTTCTAAAGCTGCTGACAGTCCTCCAAGATTGTCATCAGTATTCCATCCATCCTCCAACATATGTTTGGGTATGTATCCAAGGGTTCCTACAATCCTTGAGCGTTTAGCGGTATGTACCACTGAGTTGCTTATGTCCTGGTTCTGGTTCATATCCGATATTGGTGGAGAAGTATTGTCTTTTGATTCAAATGGGCTTTGCATCCAATTGCCGCCCTTGGGTTAAGGATGAGAACAATTGCTTCGAGTGAGTTAAAGTGAATGCCTTTGTGGTTAATCTTCAAGCATTTCTATGATGGGAAACCCAATAGCCTATATCCCCGGTCAACAATGTTTCTTACACGATGTCCACCATGTATGTCTGTTGACTTTCATTCACCGTCACCTAATAATTTCTTGGTTCAGTCCAGTGAATCCATGTCAACGACCCATCCCTCTGCCTCCGCTGCAAGTGCAAAATTGGTATTTGCCTTGATGGTCAGTCAGGCTCCTCACGCACACACCAACTCTTATAACAATGTTTGTATTACAGGACAATACTCCTCCAGCACGCTTTCAGGAGGATGCTGCCACTCAAGAAAACAAGGCACATATGTTGTGAATTCTGCCATCTGGACACAACGAGCAACCGGTAAAGGTACCTGTGTGTCTTTTAAGCATGTTATCTGACTGACATGGATTCATCCCCAAGCGCAAAATGGAATTTGCTGACTCAGTGATCCCTCAGAAGCAATGAATCCTTGAATCATTTCCCGCAGGCTGTTGCAATGGGAACTGAATGGGCTGCTTCTAGAGGCTCCTGAGGGACCAAAGATAATCAGGACTAGAGTCCAGAGTAAGTTGCCAAAGAGGCAGGGAGCACTGGACTCTGGGATATGGGCGATGTATGGTAAACAAATGTAAACAGACAAGCCATAACACAAAGGTAAGGAATAACTCGACCTAGACAAGTCCTAGGGAGGTCAGGAAAGTGAGTGAGTGGTCAGAGAAATATAGGTAATGAATATGTACGTATAGAGACCATGAAAAGGATAGAATGAGGTGAATAATCATATAACTAACACAGGCAGCATATGTCACCTTTGCAACACGGACCTTAGCCCTACTGCAAAGTGCTTGTATAGGGAGGTGGTATGATTAAAAACAATCAAACTTGATCGATCTCCACTGATCTGAGCATAGTCTGTGTTACGACAATGGTCGTAGTCGGACTGGGATGGGTAAATGAAGGACGACAGTCCTAAGTTATCAGTTGTGTATCGGTGAACGCCAGTATACCTGGTAGACCATCAATCAAGGGTCCAAGGGAAGTGTCTAGCTTCTGTCACAGAAGGTCAGGGTTGGCAGGGATCAGGAAGTGCGTCAAGCATCATGGTGAATTGTGAAGAGGTGATAGTGTGACATCGTGACGAGGTGAAGGGGTGAAAGGGTCAGAAAAAGATAGGGGGCCATGTTACTGTAACAGTCTGACACTTTCTTGAAGCGTAAAGCAGACACCCAGCTACATCCATTTACGATCAAACACGTGAAATCTCATGAGCCATCTAATTCCAGGACTTTCATTTTCTCAGTCCCCATGGAAATTCTCATTGTTGTCACCAGTCTACTAGGAGTAGGAGATCTACACTCTCTTACCAAAGTTTCTTCTCTGCTGAGAGAGATCGCCGGTCCTCTCTTCTTTGCCATCAGGAATTTTCCAACTTCCACGCAGGATATGTTTCACCTCCACGTAAACTCGCCCAACTTTGACATGTTGATGACTTGGAGAAGGACAGATACTTTTCATCCACCACGTGTGATGCTGTGCCAGATTGAAGCTGATGTGCGATCTGCACAGCTCTCTGCATTTTCACACCTCCTGCAATCTGTCCCCCATGAATCCCTACAATACATCATGCTTTTCTGGAGTTTCGACATTCTCGCCTCCCCTGTTTTCCACAGATAATCACATTCCTTGAGAATATCTGTGCCTCCTCCTGCGAAGAGCTCGTGTGCATAGGATTCTCCGATTACATGTGCTCGTTATCCGTCACCAGGCTCACCGAAATCAAGGCGCACCCAGGTTCAAACCACCTGAAATCCTTCCAGGCATCATTGCGGGCATTCTTCTCTCCTGAACTCCTTCCTTTCACCATGCAGATCATTCAATCATCCCCTTTGGAGAAGCTTCAATTGAGTTGTGTGGGTCTCAGTTCTGCACACTGGGATAACTCCTGCGGCACCTGTCCATACTGATACTCATCAAATTACAGGTCGACATTGATTGTGCACCGTCCACGCTAATTCAATTTCTGGCTCGCCATCCGGATATGAGTGATTTGAATGTTATTCTGCGACCTGATGTGTCCTGGACGACTGCTCGGGTCACCGCACCTACCATCCTTTCTATGTCTGTGCTCGGTGGACCTTTGTCTCACGTACTCGCTGTCCTTTGCAGTCTGATGATGTGTCTTCTAATCACATGACTGCCATTCTGCAATGTATTCAGTATTGCGACAGTATCAGATATCTCGCGCTTGACTTGCCCACACAGAATCATCATCGGTCAAAAATGATGTGTCACCCAGACACCTGTTGTGCAGTCCCCGTCAAACACTGGGGATTGTGAGTCTACCTACCACACTTAAATGAAGTGGCGGTGATGATCATACTAAATACTAGACCACCGTTGCCTACGCACACCGATGGAGATAGATTTAGAAAATAATGTGTATGTATACACAAATGGTGCGTGTGTCTCATTGTGTTTTTCATTTGTTCTAATTTTGTCACCGCAGAAAATGGATGTTGATGCCAACAACGACGATCTTGTGGAGATGGATGATGGCGGGGGCAAACAAATGGTATGCTCTGTCTCGCCTTCCTCTCACCCGTGCTAGCAGTTTACTGCAGGGAGATAAGAACATTGGAAATGCTAACAATGGCCATGCCATGGACGTCAATGACACTGGGGGCGTCGCCAACGACGGTGATTGTATGGACATTGATGACGCCAGAGGTGAATACATGGTATGTTCATATGTGTACTATTCTCATCTATTCACCAGTCCACTGATGTTTTTACTCATTCTAATTTTTTACCATAGGTCGCTAGAAACCTCAACAACGGTATTCTTATGGATGTTGATGACACTGGGGGCAATGTTACGGTACATCTAGATGTCTTGTTCTTATTTTCACTCGTTTAATTTGTTTTCACCACAGATGGACGCTAGAAACATTAACAACTATGATATAATGGACATCAATGACGAATACATGGTACGTCCAGATGTTTCGCTCTAATTTTCATTTGCTTAATTTTTTTTTACTACAGGTATACATGGACTTGACTAGGAGATGATTTGCCTTCAATTTTCAATTGCTCGTTCATCTGAATAATCAGGCAGAGTTTGTCATGATCAACTCTTCTGGTCTGGTATTCTTCATAGAGCTTGTCTAAGTAGTGCTCATAGATGTGGTGGATATTGGGAGAAAATTTAATGCCTATCAAATAAGTGAAACTGGTTAACCCACTCCACTGAAAGCCTATTATTCTGTCCATTTCCTTGCTTTTCAAAAGTGATTTCACAGCTGGCTGATAACTTTTGAGCACAGCAAGGCTTTGGGGGTGCTAATACTCTTAGGGGGTTCAACAAGAACTGAAAAAATACCATTAGACCCATCTGCTGCCTTTCACCAAAGGAAATCCCTGTTGTTGCAACATGGTAGAGGCCCCTTCTAGGAAGCCTCCCTTTGGGAAGGCTTGCAGTAACACTGTGAAGGTACCAGGCTTTGAAGTTGATCAAATAGTCAGGTTGCCTCCTCTATGATTTTGCAGTAGACATTTTTCTATAAATCAGAGGTGGACTTTGGCTGTCCAGCAAGCATTGCTACAATATAGCCTTTCTTGTCAATTACTGGCATGGGGGTCCTGTTGGAGATGGAGTCCTACTTATGTAAGAATTACTGATGAAGGAACTTACTGGCCATCTCATTTAATGAGCTCAAAGCCCATCACAAGGAGTTCATTCAGCCTATACTCCCTCTTCTCCCTCAGTTCTCCTCTTGAACCTTTCCAACTGCCCTCTGCACCCTTTAAGCAATCTCGATTGAAGGATCCATACACCTTTATTTGTATGGGGGTGCCCAACATTTTCTTTTTTATGGTGCCTCCTTTCTGCATGGGCAGCGCTTCTGTTGTTAGCCCTCCTGCCCATTTAGGCAGTACAAACCTCCACCTCCCCCCAACTGCTGATCTGCAGCAGAGCTAGGTGGCAGGTGAGAGGCTACTACTGTCCCTTCATCCTCTTGGCTGGTAGGTGCATAGAAACTGTCAACAGATGCTTGGCTGTTGGTACTGCAGTTGAAGGGGCCTACCTCCTCCTGTAGGACAGTACTGTTATCATTCACATCAATGTTATGTACCATTATTGACTTGTACATTACAATTGTACATACAGATTACAAATGTGATGTTACCTTGCAGTAGGGCAATCAAATATGACCTACAGGTGAGTATGCTGATTTATTATATTAAGTTTCACTAAATAAAGTATCAAAACTTAGATATGTTACTAAAACTGGTTCACACTTAATAATGTCTTAACACATCTATGCTCTATGATACTACTTAGAAGTGTATTCTGTGAAAGGTCATGGTGGTCACATATCTCAAACTCTGAAAATGGATGTTAGTAAGCTATAATTGACTAGCATTTAAAATTTTCTTAGTGCCATGTATTCACATGGAAAAAATGTCTCAATAAAACATTGGTTGCAACTAACTACTTAAGCATTGATATGTGTGGAACATTCTCCTTACAATGATAATCACAGCAAAGGTGATGTTTAGATGAAATGCATAAGGAATAAAGATCACACTAACAGCATTGCTAGCTTATCTAATCATCAGCAAAGCTTTACCTTAAACAGTATTTAATACTTTTACTACAATGACACTTTCATCAGAGGTCATAGATATTTTACATGTGGTTCATGCATGACCAAACTAAGGTTATATGATCATCTCTTCCGAGCTGTTCAGTCTAGCATATTATTAACCTCCTAGTAGACAATGACCTAGACTCCAGTGAAATCAATGCCTTCATCAAAGCAAAGTGTTGTGATTGTCAATCTATTCTATTGTCATTGACAGTGCTAGTGTAATATGAAATGTTTGCTAATTCTCTGTCAGAATTTGAGTAGTAGTCTGTGTCAAAGTCAGTTTGTCTCATACTTTCCCAGATCTCTGCTTGTAAAGTAGCACCAGCCTCCCTATGAACAGATATGAAATACTCTTCATGCTAATCAAGAATATACTCTACCATATTGTATTTCTGGATAGCATCAATAAAGGTTAATAATGAGTATATTTCTGCAGTGTGTTCCTAGATCCTTTATCAGTGAATTCTTTCTAACCTTAAATAGACATAGAATAATCTTCATGTCCTATTGGAAAGTCAGGATTCGAAACACTGACTTTCATATCTTGTGACTGTAGTATTGTACCATAATAATAATGCACATGAAAATGATGTTTTTTTCAGTGTTCAAAATACTTCTAAGATCTGATGGTTGCAACCAACACAGAAAATGAACAATTAAGATGTTAAAAATCACCACTTAGAACACTCAGTTACTGAAGTAATTCAAGGGCCAATTAGGAATAAAATTACAAGTATTACAAGATAGATGAGAGCCAGAAAATCCAAAGCATGTAATCAAAAGAGTCCAGAGCATTGAACAACAGAAGTGGTGAGACAAGTCCAAGTCCATTATAAGTTCCAATCTAGTTTAGATTGGATCTGCCAAGATAAGATCTGACATATGTAGAGCTAAGCACATTTTCTTTTAAATAGATAGCACATCCATACTTACTAAGTAATACATGGTAGAGGATCAGACTCCTAACAATTAATACTGAAGCTTGGAATTCAGCATTTCATTTCTGAAGGGTGATAGGCATAGCTACACAAAATGGTGATATAAGTCAGACTCATCTAAATATTGTTCCAGACAATTCTAAAGGGGCTCAGTGGTCTCCACAGATAAAGGCTATTCTTTTATTATTAGTAGCCTAGCTTTGTCTGCATTATGATCTGCCTCAGAGTCCTATTGGTCACTTTCATTAAGTTTAGTGCCTAGTTAGCAGTGACTGCCGTTTTCCTATTATTTGGTGCTTTGGATAACTAGACCTAAATATATTGAAGATAATGACAACAACATATGAATAATGAAATCGCCTTTCTGGTTGATTTGGATGACTTATTGTACCAGTTCTTCTTGTCATAATCAGTTTAATTTTGCTGATATTGCTAAAGAACCTCATTGACTAGCCAGCCATCCTGAAGGTTGTTTCAAAAGCTATTTTGTTCATTACCTAGGTAATATGAGTATATATATGGATGTAAATAACAAAAAAAATGGTAATAATGATTTCTCCAAAAAGTAAGGGTTATTGATAGCTAATGGTTTGGTTAAGTTGTAGGTTCCTACACTTTGCTAGGGATCCACACGGGTATGGGTAACCCGCACGGGTCCCAGGTATGGGTACCCCTGGGGTACAGGTGTGGGTACGACTTAGTGGTACCCATACCAGTACCTCAGGCAGGGGTTTTCACCAGAATGCTCAATAATCAAACTTTAAACTTAAATTAGAATGATACCATGCAATAGCACCCATCCATCAAACTTAAATTGTGTTATATCATATATAATATAGTACTACCTCACTAGTAACTACCCTGCATGCAAATTTTCGCTCTCAACTTCATCCATCCCTCACCATGTCACAATCCAACTTCTTCGCTGCATCAGCGAGATGGGTAAGTAAGATGACAGACAAAGCAAAGGCTGCTTTGGAAGAGAAGACCATGTGGACCTCATCGAAGAAACGTAAACCTGAAGTGAGTGGAGAAACCATTAATTCTCTGCCGAAGCAGGCAAAAACCAACTGACCTGCTGATACCACTCCCCCTAGAATGACAGTGTTGCTGCCATCGACATCACCAATACCAGTACCATCTTTTACACCAACCCCCCTTTCGACTGACAAAAGTCATTGTGCAGTTGTTCACACGGAGGAGGAGGAGGAGGAGGAAGAAGCTTTGTATGCAGACAGAAGTGATGCTGACCCGAAAGAGAGTGACGAGGAATCGCAAAGCGGAGAGCTGTGCAAGCTTGTGTCATATACCGTACACTGAGCCCCTGAATCATATCCCATCTCTCCCAACACACAATGTCCGGACCTCTGAAATGTAGCCAAGCTATACCTTAACCCTATCCCTACCCCTCGGCAGGATAACTCCGCATCCCAGTCTCCACCGGACATACCCCTCAGCAGGATCTGCCTGTTACGACAACGGTCGTAGTCGGACTGGGATGGGTAAGCGAAGGACGACGGTCCTAAGCTATCGTGTCATGTATCGGTTGAACGTCAATATACCTGGTAGCCTAAGCCGTCAGGTTGTGACAGAATGGAAGGGGAGGTAAGCTTCTAAGGCAACAGCCGAAGAAGGGTTTCGTGTTCGATGGTTAAGTCTAGACGAGGGATCAGTATCGACTCAAAGACAAACAGTCTAAGAGAAAAGAGGTATCGACTCAAGGATAGCGATCCAAGAGTATAGCGGGTTCGTGATCAGACTCAAGAGAGTTAACTCAAGAGAATATACAAGTCAAGGTAAAACCCAGTAGAATCAAGTTAAGGAATAATAGTACAAGTGGATCGACTATATATAGGTAGAGGTCACTGTGTTCAGGGCAGGTCTGGTAATCGTACAAGGGTCAGGAAATGATGTATCAGGAAGGCAGGAGTCCATGAGGTCAGGGATGGATATCTATGGGAACATCAAGGGAAATGGAAGTAGGGCCATGAGGCCATGGATCAAGGGTCCAAGGGAAGCGTCTAGCTTCTGTCACAGAAGGTCAGGGTCGGCGGGGATCAGGAAGTGTGCATCAAGCATCATGGTGAATCGTGAAGAGGTGAAGGTGTGATGTTGTGACGGGGTGAAGAGGTGAAAGGGTCGGAAAAAGATAGGGGTGCCATGTTACTGTAACACTGCCCTGTTTTCCTATACATCGGATGTCCTATACGTCAGACGTCCTATACATCGGATGCCCTATTCATCGGTCATCCTCCTGTATGCCTCGGATCCCCTATACATCGGACGTCCTATACGTCGGACGTCTTATTCATCGGTCCTCCTCCTGCATACCTCAGATCTCCTTTTCGTCAGACGTCCTATTCGTCGGATCCCACTCATGTCGTCCGCTCGTCCACTCGTCCACTCATCCGCTCGTCCACTCGTCCACTCCTCCTGTATTCGTCGGACATCCTATTCATCGGACATCCTATACGTCGGACCCACTCGGGTCCACTTAACCCCTAAGCATCGGACCCCAAACATCGGACCTACTCAGATCCTGAGCTTCGGACCCAGGTCCACTTAACCCCTAAAACATCGGATCCACTTCACAGTTCATCTCCGTCCCCATTTCCTGTGATCCACTTGACAGTTCATTTCCGGTCCTGCTCCTATTCTGTTACCCCATTTGTATAGTCCCCTTGTCCTAACCCCTATATGCCCGGATCTGTTTGACAGTTAATATCCGACTTCATTCTCGATCATACCTCCTATGCCCGGATCCATTCGATACTTCATCTCCGTCTCTGTTCCTGTATTATTTTCCTTGCACCTGTCAGTTTAACCTTTCCATATGTTCCTCGTGTTGACCCAGATCTCCGCTGACTCCGTCCCCGTCGCACATGTCCATAGTATATAATACCTTGTAAACTCGTAGTAGTTTCCTCAGTTCGAATATCACCTTAGATTATCCTCATTCCTGTTTCCTTGGACCCGGATCCATTTCCATGGGCCCGGGTCCACTTCCCTGTCCAACCTCTGTGTCCTGGGATTGATTCCTCGGGCTATACTCCGCCTCTACCTTCGGTTAGTCTACCTCTGTCAGTTTCTACGCTGGACATTGTCTAGTGTAGTCTTACCTCTAGCTTCTGTCCTCTTGGACTTCCTGTCCTTCTGTCCCCTCGGACTTCCTGTCTTTCCGTCCTTACACCTGTCTGTTCTGTCCCCCACGTCCGCCGGACTAAAGCCCCTATTCTCCGGGTGTACTAAGCCCCTATTGTCCGGCGGACTAATCCTCTTATGTCGGCCGGACTAATCCTCTTATGTCGGCTGGACTAACCCTCCTTACGTCAGCCGACGAACCCCCTTTATGTCGGCCAGACCAATCCCCCCAAGTCGGCCGGACCAACCCCCCCCATGTCGGCCGGACTAACCCCCTGAACATCGGCCTGACTCTTCCTCGAAAAGCCTACCAGACTTGTCCCCTTGAAGTCCACCGGGATTCATCATCCTCCCTCGGACTTTGTTTCTAGCCTTCGGAAATTAAGGGCACGTACTCAGGTAAGGGGCACAGCGCACGAGCTGAAGCCAAGCCCTTCAGATCCGCCCCTTGAGCACGGTCTTAACAGCTTGCTTACAAACTCATTCACTCGACTACTGTACTCCTCCCCACATGGCACAAAGCACTATGTGCATCTGACCAGTCCATTAGCAATACACCACGGGATGTCGCTACCCAGTGGAGTTCGACCTTTGACATGTTGAAATATGCGCTGGACCATCAGGATGCAATCAATGTTGTAACACACAGCCAAGGCATAGATTTGCACAAGTTTGAACTCACCAACGTGGAATGGGAGATAGTGCAGCAGCTTTGTCATATATATATTTATAATTATATATCAACTAAGGTTTACATTATAGATTCTCAAAGACGCAACTACATTCTTCTCTCGCTCCACACCTAACTTGGCCACTGTGACTCCTGCCATGGACCTAATCCATGAGGCACTCACAAGTTATTCCTTGAACCAGAAATATTGTGCCTCTGTTCATGCAGCTGTGCGTCTTGCCAAGAAAAGTCTGAACCGCTACTACGAGCTTACCAATAAATCTGAAGTATATTGTATAGCAATGGGTGCGTGTTTTCTTTTCACTTTCTTGCTTCCTTCACTAATCATAAAATAGTTTTGCATCCATGGCATAAACTATTATGCTTCAAGAACGCTGGATGGACAGAAGAGTGGATCAACACTGCCAAAACCCTGATTGTCCAATTCGTCCAATAGGTCATCTTCCCAGGTGCGGGGCGTGGAGGCAGGAGGTACGACAGATGTGGGTGTGCTCGACAGTGCTGCGCTGGTATTGAACACTTGCTTATTGAAATACTCCATCACGCTAATTGCCCATGGAGAGCTTTTGAAGAAGCATTCCAGATAGAAGTTGTAATCCTTCTGATAATTGATCTTCATCTCTGCTCCAGTCGCAGTGAGCTCAGCGTCGTGTGTTAACAAGAAATGTGCCTGTAAATGAGTGATCAGTGATACAAAGCAAAGGACGGTGAATGTCAGAAAAACTCACCAATATAGCAGTGCCGGCAATAATACCCTCGGTAACACTCAGCGCATCCATTCGCAGGCCCCTTGTCTTCCCACTGAGTATTGCATTCCCATACACTTCAACGTGAATTATCTAGTATGAGTGTCAGTGATAGGTTAGTGTCATAGTGAGACATTGGTTGTTGTACTTACTTTGACGAGCACCGACGATTTGAGGAAATTGTTGGCTGACATAGCATGAGGATTTGTGAATAGTACAGGTGCGAGACAGATGTAATCACCCTCCCCATTCCTCTTGAGCAGCATAAGGAGATCTGTGTTGTCCTGCTTTTTGGAAGGCTGGTCGGCAAAGATGTTGGGGTCAAGTTTGAAGGCAGAGAAGATAACACCTGCGCAATCCTTGATGCTGTGCAGAATGTTCGATCTCTTGGAGCTGACTGCCGCATGAAAGTAAGGCCAACACAAGTATCAGCATGAAATTCAGGATAGTGTTGGAATCACAATAAACTTACTAATGATCCAAAACACGGATAGGTTTCCATGGAGGTGTGCAAGTCTTTAGGTATGATCTGATACAGTTCACCCATTGCACCTTTAAGCTTCGCATCAGGAGAGCTCCAACGTGTAGTGCTCTGCAGGTCGACATTAGCAGGTTGAGGAGTAGTTGGAAACAGACCGTTCACGACCCAGAAATGACTGAACAGGGCATACTTCTGTCCTTGGCGGGTGATGCTGGAGTCCAGTGCAGATGTCTTCTTGAGCACGTGGTTGTGGCTGTGAGCAGGGATCACAGATGAAAGAGTGAGATACTGTCTCTTGAGCACATGCAGCTCAGACCGTGTTGCATTGTAAGCTTGCTGCGCTGTTGCGAGGACCTATTAGATAGAGCATATATCAGACAATATCACAGGTGAATATTAAACTAATGAGTGTCATGCCTACCTTTCGAACATCGTGCATTTGTGTGTCTGGCCCAGGGACAGCCAGGACAGTCCTTACTTGATCCAAATCACTCCCAGAATCTTCACCGTCGGATCCATCAGTCTCAGAGCTATTGGAGACGGTGTTGATCTCAGCCTCAAAATCTTCCTCGTCATCCATATTGCGCGGCATGACAACAATCTCTCTGAAACTGAGCGAAAGTGCTAGACGTCCAGTGTGAGTTAATGGGATGCAAGGGTGGAATAAAACTGCCCACTTTATATAACATGCCCCCTCGGGGTGGCACTGATGGGCTCGGTAACACTTCTGCAGAACAGATTATTACGTCGACAGAGAAACACGTTGACCACAGGTTCAGTTGCCTAGGTTGCTGGTCTTCGCTAACAGAAACGATGGTACTGTTAATCAGCTGTAATAATTGCTTGGCGTGATGGGACTCACTTAGATTAATTGAGGTGTTTGGTGCTCTCTGAATCCAATGAGATTGGAAGTAGAGTCTGGTGGTATGTCAGTTTCTAATACCAGTGGCGCACAAGAGCTACATTACTGCAATAGTCATAAATGTAAATGTTGAAGCTGGCAGCAGGGATGATACATAATAATGCGGTGGGACTCACTTTACAAATGAACAATGTTCCTAATCAGCGCCCTCCAAGGAGAGTCTAACCATAGGGGGGAGAGAGAGAGTTTGATGGTATTGCTTTGACTAATAATATTAATACGAGCAGCTCATGGGAGCCGCACTTGCAACAATGTTGAACCTAGGTTGGCATCAATATGTTTCGCTAACGAGGCCCAATACATAATAAATGGGACTTACTTCTAAGTGCCAGGTGATTCTGAGTTGGATATCCTGGACCCGGTGTTCTAATAATATATGCTGTCCCTAAGTGTGATGCATTAGTAGTGGTGCTGTGTGGAAGGTGTGGCAAAGAAGAAATGTACATGTATTGTTCAGATATTTTCTGTAGAACGAAATGAGGATTTGTACCTAAAAGTGTGATGCACAAGTTTGGTGCCTGGCGAATGATTAGTTGCAAAACATTGGTAGCTGTGAGGACTGAGTGAATGACTAGTTGCAAAATGTTGATGGCTGTGAGGACTGAGTGAATGATTAGTTGCAAAATGTTGATAGCTGTCAACTGACTTACATTTACTGGACCCGACAGGCCTTCATTCGGAGAAATATGTCGCTGTCAATGTGGTCAGCAATGAAGTATTCATCTTGACGCTCGGAATCGGGTACTAAGACAGCCATTCGAATGAAAGAACTGAGCGGGATGAATATTGAGGATGACCTAGGGAGGGCCTTAACACAAGTGAGCTTGAAGATGTGGTCCATTCTGCGAGGACCGGTGATGGTAGTGTATGGTTGAACAATCGCAAATTCAAAGGGCCCAATGTTTGAGACCATTTCCTGTGCACCCTCACCAGCTCTTTCCAATCTTTCTGCTCTTTCCGCAGCACCTGCACCTGTCCAGGATAATTATATCACTGTCTTGACATCTATGTCAATTAGCCAGCCACGTGCTGCATCTGCTTCTACTCAGCTGCAGGTGGATGTTAGTCAACTATCGCTAACCAATCATGGTTTTCCACCAGCGCTGACTGCACCAGCAGGTCAAAAAGTGCTTCATCGGGGTCGTATTTCAGCTCAGCCTACCTCTATCTCTGCTGCAGCACCAGAAGCACTGCCAGCACGCTAGTGGACGCAACAAGAAGCCAACAGCGAAGTGAACATTTTCCGACTCCATACTTTACATTGGTATGTACTCATACTTAGATACTTGATGTCAGACGTGTATTTACTATTTGATTCAATGATACTACAGTTTCACTGCGACACTTATATTGCCTTATAAGGACCTTAAAAATGTGCATATAGGATTGGGGTTCCATGTATTACATCGGCCTTATGGCCAAGGGGTAACTATGCCAGTTTATACTACGGTTATACATGGTAAGGTAAAAGTGACAAGTTCAAATCCCCCAAAGTGTACATTATAATAGTTAACTATAGTACTAGATAATGTAGGATTAAGATAATGATTAGATGGTAGTTAGATAGTAAGATAATGATAAGCCAATATAAGTAGGATAGTACCAGTCCACCGCTGACTCATAGTGCACCTTGAGATAGTGGTGCTCATGAATCTGTATAGCAAGTGAGTGCAATGTATTAGACAATACAATGATTAGCATACCTTGAAATGGCCTGGAAATGTAAGCCAACTCGTTAGTTGATGGCCATAGGTAGGCAGAGCGGTGTTGATGAATTCAGAGAATTTGTGGTGAAAAGACTGGAATGCACAATCTGTTTGGCCGCAACTCTCGACATCAATGATAGTTGAAGGACACGGCGCTGGCGAGCCAAGTTTCACGTGGCCATTGAAGGCTATGGGAGCATCTTCTTCACTGAGGTCGCCAAGCGCTTGCAATCAGCAGTGTTCATCAAGTGCGTTGACACATTCTCTCAGAAGTTTCAAGGAGAATCTGTGGTGGTCAATACGAAGTATCTATTGTTATAATTGTGCATCAGTCTAAGTATTAACAACACATGTATATTGTGAACTTACTTGTGTCATGACATCCTTTCCATTCATTCAATGGTGATAGGTGTCTTTGAGGGGGCCATGAAGCTTCTCGTTAGGATGTGTGCTATAGTTGTGTGCTACTCCCTTATGTCGGATATTGTGAAAAACATGTTTCCATAGGTGGGTCTTCGGAAAGTCCCAGTCGAGCTTCAATTTATCGATCTCTGATTCTTTAGCGCATATAATATAGGCCTAGAAATGAATGTGTCACTGTAAGTGAATATGATCAATAGGTGATAAGTAAAGACTCTACCTTGAGCTCAACATCAAAAACTAAAAGCTCATCTTTGATCGCTGCAAGTGTGCTCTTAGTATGCACATTGAGACCAATCCAGCTATCCACCTGCTGATAACTGCTGATAATGCGAAGCAGCTGATAGCCAACAGGACTGGCTCTGTGCATCAGGATATTCAAAGCTGGATACAATGTTTGCTTCAAGATAATGAGCAATATGTGTGATCACGGAATGAGTAAAAAAAAACTCACCTTAGAGAGGTCCTGGTATTTGTTGCCGTTGGTGAATGAAATATTGATGACAGATTCGAAGTGGTTAAGGTTGCACCATTGAGGGAAGTTAGCAATCCTGTAAAGATCAATGACTTACAACTTCTCAAATGCTTCCTGAGCATCACGTCCAAGTGATGCGAGGATTATCTTCAATTCTCCAAGTAAGTGCTTCCAAAGACCAGTGTGCAATGAATGCAATCGATCCAAACTAAGTGTTTCATTGCAACATTGGCAAGGAGAAAGTCTAGGTGTGCCATTGCGAGCACTAGACCCCCCTTGGAAGAAGGGTGGATAGGCATACTGGTGTGTGTACTAAACCACCCCACAATCCAGAACAATCCCCACCAAACACCTAGAATAGTTTGAGTATGAAGAAAGATCAATATAGTACTTACCTTGTAAAATGAAACCTAGGCAATGAACAAAATACAGCAGTTAGCGATGAACTTAAATTAAAAAGAACCACTCACACAGCTGCAGCCTGTGTAAGCAGCTAATGAGATGAGCCAGAAATGTTGAGGTAGAAGTATTGAGTTTGAAAAGAAGGAGGAAAATCAACTGCATGCAGCAAAAAGCCACATCATATTTGATGTTGTTGACATTTGGACAATGCCAAAGGTATGCCCTGCCACAAGTTTTACATTGACAAACTGCCTTGTTCTGTTGTCAATACCGCTAAGAGCAAGAATTTGGGCTGGTCTGAGTCCCCTCCACAATATTTCCACTGCTGTCTTCTGTAATATATCCTGGCACAAGAGGCAAGTGTCTTTGAAGTAGGGATGAGGAAGTATTCACTAAGAGGGCACAAATTGGATTTTTGTGACCATTAGTTTGGTAGATGTTTGTTTTGCAATAATTTGACTTCATCTCATTGTAACCTATTCACCCCTACGAACAACACTTCCACAGGAGGAAGCAAGTTTCTTTGTAGCCTATTTGCATCCACAAATGATTATTTGGCAGAAGGGCAAGCCAGTAAGCTTTGAGTATGAATATGTCTTAATATGTCATGTGATCTTGTTTATCATTTGTTGAGCTGATGTATCAATGTGTTATCTGTCATGTGATGGCAAATCACTGAACTCATCATGGCTATCTGGTACACATCTTTCAAGCACATACTTGCTCTCCATCAGGATGTATTTGTGGCTGCATTGTGTGAAACACATCGAGGTATGCTGAGGACAGTTGTGCATCATATTGGTTCCAGAAACAAGTTTCAGAATGAATTGGTTGAGTTGCCAAAGGCATTGAAAAATGTATGATCTAATTTAGTCAGATATTACTTCCATCAATTCTTAACCAATGACACTGACATATGGGTAGAAGATAAGTTTCTGGGAGATGGGCTTGTGGCCTGTCCCCTGAGGAGAGAGAGACTGCAGTCCATCCTAAGGATGCAGCCTTCTACAAGAAGAAAACTAATGAGTGGGATGTTGCTCAGAAGCTATTTAAGCAGAAGATTGATGAGTACCAAAAAAGCCCTGGATGACTTTACTGAACAAATGTGCCATAATATGAGATGTCAGGTTATTATCCTAACCATTTACAAGAAGAGATCAGACTCTAAGTGTTGTCATGTGAGTGTATTTTTGGCACCACAGTCTTATAGTATAATAACACAACACTCTTATTATTTAGTCATGAGTCCAAGCCCCTCAACAGCAAAAAGCCTTTTATGCAGAGTTCTTGGGGGAATAAGGATTGGCTATTGCAATATTTTGAAAAATTTGCACATTGATTGAAGTCAGAATTTTGTGAGTATTTATTTTTCTATTAAAACTTTCTCTGTAATCAAGGAATTTTCAGACCCATAGGACAATGATGACGAGTTAGATGAATACAAGGAAGATGATGGCAAGGCTAGCCTACCCGAACTCATCTTGGACAAGAGTGGGTACCAGAAGTTTACCATTGATGGACCATACATACATCTTGATCACAATGGTCTTCTTGCTGTCAACTCTGGTCTACATGCGCTAGAGCTCTGTCACCTTATAAATCAATCACTTCTTATATTCCAGAACAACCTCACAATGTCGATGAAGGAGGCGCTTGAAATTGAAACCCATTGTGTCGGGGAAATCACTGAGGAAAAAAACACCCTTATTAAGTGCACCATGAGGGAGCTCAATCGTGTTGATGATTTCAAGGAGAAGGAGTGGGAAAGACAGCGGAAAGGTGAAAACGACAAGGACTCTGAAATGTATATTAACACAGGTCAGTTTTCTACACAGTCCATTGTCTATATAAAACTGATGGATATGATTTCTTTTGGCTAGATTGGTATTTCAACACGCCACATGCTTCCTGGCCCCTTCTGCTCTTGGTGGTATATCTGACCACCCTTCTTATGCACCTCGTATGTGGGTTGCCTACCTCCAGTTCATACATTTATACATCTACATAGATGTTGTAGGTCAATGAGGCTAGGCTCGATGCTCCTTCTGTGGTGAATTTTGATGTGGTGTTGTCCCAACCATTTAGGGTCGTTAGCGCACTGCGTGTTCTTAGGTTTGTGACTAGCGATCTCATTAGGGTAGGGTGTTCGGGGGTTGACCAATTGAGGTCCTCTAGATTTCGAAGGTTTTTTGTTAAGTCTTTTCTTAAGCGAGGAGATTTGACTATGACGTGGAGAGGGGAGTTCAGGGGAGTGGTTTGTGCGGCTCTCAGTATGGCTGTTATTTCACCAGTGCCAGGGGATGCTAGTCGTTCGGGGATCCTGACTGACAAGTTGCGGGTGTCGTTTCATCCGAAGAAAGCACCACCTCCTGCAACATATATTCCATCTTTATCTACTCAATAGGAGCCAGCAATGGTGATGGTGGTAAGCTGGGGGTTAGCTCCTGGAACTATAGGGGCTTGTTTGGCTGACATTATGCTGTGGTTTTTAGGTGTAACGAAGGCTCAGTAGCCATCTTCAATTGAGGCGGGGGAGGGGAATATTGTGTCAAAAATCCCAAATTTCTGTTGTCCTTCAGCATTGATCTCTGGTGGGATTTGTTCTGGAGCAATAGCGAGGGCGTATTCTATTGTGCAGGTTCTCGGGTGCCATTTCGGGTAGATACAGCTAAGTATGTCATTCGCCAGTTTTTTGCACTTAAAAGGTCTCACACAGTTTAGGGACATCCTGTCTTGGACACAGTGTTCACAGTCACATGCCATGTGTTGTTTGTGGAGTGGGGATTGTCTTGTTGTGACGGCTTCCAGTTGCCCTACTGAGGCAATTAGGTGTTTTTCTCTCAAGCAGGTAGTGTATGAGTGGTTATTGAGCTTGTTTAGGTTATTGGACGCTCCAATGTGGAACCAAGCAGGGAGTTGTCTGGCGACATCTGCGTTGATGGATATAGCTTCCCATCTCATGTTATACTTCTTTCCTGCCTTGACCATGCGGCTCAGGTGTGTGGGGAGTTTTTTGATCAAGGGAGACCACATTTGTATGAAAGGGCTGATGTGAGCTTGGGGTTTCACTACCGGGGAGGGTTGCATTGCTTTGGCAATCAGGGAGTAGGCAAAGAAGGTCCATTGAGGGCATTCTTTGGGGGGAGCGAGGAGGCTCTTTAGCCATTTAAGTTCCATTGCCTCATTGCGGCTTTTTAGGTGAAGAATGTTCTTACCTCCTTCTGATATTGGGGCGTATAGTGTGCCCATGCTAACCGAGTTTTTTCCTTCACTATCCCAGATGAACTTGCGGGTTCTCTTGATGAGGAGATCCTCAATGTCTCTTGGCATGCCTTGAGCGGTGGTCAAATATTGTGTCATGCTGTCTATGGTTCGTTGGAGGATGATTTTCCTTCCTTCAAGGTCGGGCACCATTTTTCCCATCTCTGTAGAGTGTTCTCTATCTTTTCCAAGATTGGAGACCATATAGCTTGTTCCTCAATCCCGTTACCAATCCACACTCCAAGAATTCTGATGGCTTTGCCATCTCTGGCGATGTCAATACTAGTTGGGAGGGCTTCTTGTGAGTTATTGATTTTTCTAGTCTCTACTACTTTATTGTGGTATTCTCTAGAGCCTATTGGAATCACTTCAGTTTTAGTGGTGTTAAATTTGGCCCCAGATGCCCTGCACCAGCAGGATAGGGTGCAGTTTAGTGCCGCGAAGTCGTCTTTCTCCATCAGGTAAACAGTGGTGTCATCTGTGAACATGGTTACCACAACGCGGTGCGTCATTTCTTTGGTCTTGTATCCTGCAAAGTTTGATTTTCTTAACAGTTCTGCTAATGGTTCAATAGCCAGGTCAAATAGGAGGCATGACAATGGATCTCCCTGTCTCACACCCCTGGTAACCTTTAAATTTTGTGCTGATCTCGCCGTTTATCATTACAGAGGTTTCAGCATCTCTGTATAGGGATTGTATCGTTTTGATGAAGTTTACAGGTAAGTCAAATTTTTCTAGAATTTTCCACAAATAGTCATGCACTATTTTATCATAGGCCTTCTCTGGATCTAGGGCTACAATTGCGCTTTTTTCTCCCTCCACCTCCGCATACTCCATAATTAGTTGGGTGAGGCAAATTTGATTGGTTATGCTCCTGCCTGGTACAAAACCGGCTTAGTTCTTGTGGATGATGGATGGTACTGTCCTTGTGAGTTTGAGTGCTAGGGTTTTAGTGAGTGCTTTATAATTGCTATTAAGTAGCATGATTGGTCTATAGTTTGCGATCTCATGTCTGTCTTTTTTCTTATGTATTGGATGTAGCAATCCTTCCGCGAAGGAGGAGGCGTCCACCACTCCATGGGATTCAATATCATTGTACACCGCTGTAAGGCATTCAGCAAAGTCGAAGGGTGATTCTCCATTGTCGTCTTTTGGTATCGACTTAGCCTTTTCATTTAGCCATTTCCAGAACTCGTAGGGAATCCCATCTATCCCTGGGGCCTTACCATTGGGAAGGGGCCCGAGGACTTCTTCAATGTTCCCCTTGGTGAGCGGGGTTTCTAGCTCTGTTTTATTGGATTCAGAGAGCTTAATGTCAATAGTGTTTAGGACTTTCGTGAGGGCTTCCTCGCGCTCAATACCTTGTGCCATGCCTTCCTTTTGAAGGTCATCATAGTATTTTCTTGCCAACTCAGCCATTTTGTCTGACCTATGTTCATAGGCTGGAGCATTGCTAGGGGATTCTGGAACTCTAAGCTCGACTATTGCATCATGAGTTTTCTGTTCTCTTCCGGACTTGGCCCAGAACTTGCTCACAGGCGACTCACTCTCAAGACATATTTTAGCTGCTAAGTGGTCCTGTGAGGTTTTGTGTTGAAGGATTTCTAGCTGATTTAGTTTTTCTTGAATGTGTAGGCCTACTATTCGCTTGTCCTCTTCTAACAGTGTTGGATCCGTCATTGTAGCCGTGAGTTGAGATTTTAACTTGTTCTTTTTCTTCAGGATTACTTTCCTTGCTGTGTTGCGGCATAGGGTGATGGCTTTCCGCTTAAATGTGGTAAACGCTAGCTAGGGGTTATTGACTTTGGTGTGCTGGTTCTTATGTTCCGTTATCTCTTGATTTAGTGCTTTGCCTAGGTTGACGAGGTCCTCGCTTAGTCTCTTATCATTGAGGACATAGAGGGGGAGGGACCATCTCCCTTCTCCCACGAAGGGCATGTTTTTCTTCGAGATTCTAGCTGAAACTAACTGATGGTCTGTATGAATTCAAGGGGGGGAGATGTCCCAGTCTCTACTAAAGGGCAGGAGCTCTTCGTTCACGTAGATTCTGTCTATTCTGGACTGGTGTCCACCTTGGCGCGCAGATTGTGCAAAGGTGTATAGGAGAGTGTCCGGGTTCTCTTGGCGCCAGCCGTCCTTTAGTTTAAGGTGAGATTTAAGAGTGACAATGTGGGGTTGGGTGGGTCTGCCTTGGGGGGGAGTCTGTCTAATGCGTCTTCAACTAAGTTGAAGTCTCCTAGCATGATGTTGGGTCTAGGTAAGTTCTTAATCTTAGAATGGACTAGTTCCCAGAAATACTGATTATTTCGCGGGTCGTTTGGGGCATAGATGGCCAAGATCTTAAGTGTAGTATTCTTTAGCCAGGGGATTACCATGAGTAGAGCTCTTCCAGGTACAATCTCAAATGTTTTAATGTTCATGACGTTCATTAGTTATTTATTTAGGACAATGGCGACTCCTTTCGTGTTAGTGTGAGCTGGGTCGATCGATGAGATGATATGTAGTCTTAACCCTGGGGTTGAGTTGAGGGTGGATTCGTCTTCCTTTGTGAGGTGCTTCTCTTGCAGTGCTAGTGCTCCAATTTTTTGTTCCTTCATGATTTGATTAATGTGAGTCCATTTATCTGAACCTTCATGCCAGCGTCCTCTCATATTTAGGGACATGACTTTGATGTTCGCTCACGTCTTTTTCTTATTCTTAGATGCGTGAGGGGTGCACTGATTCTGCGCTTGGCCTGGTGGGGGGCTGCTGTTGCTCTCTGGTGAGGTTGGAGCGGCACTGTGTGGTGCACTGATGGATTGGGTGTCTGTTATGGCAGACGCTCCTTCGGGAGTGGTTGTGTGCTCGGGGGCACTAGGTGTTTCGGCTTCTAGAGGGGGGGAAGGTTAGTATTTGTGTGGTGCCCGTCACCATCGCCCGCTGATCCATCATCAAAGGATTGGCTGACAGGCAAAGCACAATCCTCTCTGGATCTGTGGGAGCTATAACTGTGACCTAGTGTATTGACCATGTTTAGTGTGTTAGTTGGGTCTGTAGTAGAGTTAGTAGTTAAAAATACAGTGCCATGCCTTGACCACAGCAGTGGGCCGCACTAGCTTATCCCAGCCAGACGAAGGGAGGACAATGTCGTAGGGGAGCCAAAAGATTTGATAAGGCGATAAGTGTGATTCCTCCATGACTTCAGCATCTCTGCACGGCACGTCCTTGACCTAAAAAGATTGCTGTTTTGATTTAGTAGGGTTCAGAGCTTTCCTGTCCTTGCAGTATATTTGGGCTCCAATAGACTTACTCTAGTAGTGTTGTGCAGCTGGCAGGTACATTGCTCAAGCTTTCTCCTTATCCTTACATTAGGAGATGTGTCAACAGAGTCGTTATTATCATTAGTTGGGTCATGGGCCATGGTACATTGTACAGGTGTACATAGGATCATTCTACGGGGGCGGTATGGTAGGTAACTGGTTCTCTAGAAGGCTCTTCCTCTTCCCCTCTTTCCGAGTCCGTTCCCTCGGGGCGCACCTCTCATATGACCTCTTGGTTGGCCTCTGTTTCCGCCTCCATGGTTTGGGCTGCCGTTAAAGGCCCCTTGGCCGTGGCTGGATGTGTTCCAGTTGTCGAGGGTGACATTGGAGTTATCTTCTGAGGAGGAGGGTCTGAACCACCTGGAGATGCGGGGGAAGGGGCATAGCCCTGTTGGGTGGTCAAAGGACTTACAGCCGACGCAGACGAACTGAGCATCGTGGCGTGCGGTGCCGTAGCCATGGTCTTCCAAAATGTAGAAGAAGCTTTGTAGGATACTAGTCCAGTCGAAGTACTGTTTGAGCGTGAATGCCAGCGGGGAGTTGAAGTAGATATTCCAGACTGTCTCCTTTAAAGTTTTGGAGTGGGCGAGGGTGAGGCTTGTGACCTTAATGGATTCGGTGGTGTGTAGGGTGGCTTCTGCGTCGGGGAATGGTATATTCTCGTGGATGAACTGTAGGACGTCCAGGTTCGAGCGGATGGTGTCTTTCACTATTTCCGCGATCTCTTTGTTGGTTGTTTTGGAGTCAGGGAAGGAAAAGTTCTCCAGAGTGAACGCATAGGTGGGGAGAGGCTATTCGAAAGGAACAAAGAAGCAGGACACCTCCGGGGATGAGCACACTTGGAGGCGGAGGAGCCGTTCGATGGCTTCGGTGGGAATGCCAGAGATAAGGTAATGCCAAGGGGGAGGCAGGTGTTCAATGAGCTCAACTGCTGCCATGGGAGTGCTGACGATGAGGTCTGTGGCATCGGAGTCGCCAATAATCTTGGTTATTGCATCCTTGAGTTTAGCTACAGTTCCTTGGGCGTTATTCTCATGTTTCGCCCTGTATGTCCTGACCCACACCTTTGCACCCTCTTTCTGGCACCATTTATCTTTCAATATTTGTGAAATGTTGCGCCAGGTGGATTGTCCGAGTTGTGGAATGGGGAACCCGCCTGGTAGGGTGGCTGTAATTTTGAAGCCGCTATCCAGAGTTCTGATGCCACTGACTGTGGGAGTTTTGTTAATGCGGGTGGGGGCATGTGAGTATGGGTTCACATACCTGATACCTCTGTGGTGGAATCGTTCGAGCATAGGAATTGCCATTGATCAGTGGCCACTGGGGTGTTTAGCTGGTTTTTGTGCTCTATGTTAAGGCACTTATTAGGGGAGGGGCTCGAGGTATTGGTGGTGGCAACATCTTGAGTTTGTGTGGTGTTTGGCACAGCCGTCTGTGGGGAAGGGTTTTGAGATGTGGAGGTGGGGCGTGTGTGCTTGTTGACTCTAGAGTCGGTATTCATGTGTTGGGTGGGAGTTGTGGTTGTGGGGGCTGTGGCTTTGTGGTTCACCGACGACATCTGTATATCGTCTGAGGACATATCTATCTTATGGAGTGTATGATGGGTGAGGGGAGCGAGGGATGGGATTCTGTCGTGTTGACTTTAGTCTGAGGGAGGTCTGTATTCCGTGCCTGGGATTTATAGGCTGGGAGGATATGTATCCTTTGTGGTGTAGTGTGAGTCGTTTTCTGCGGACTCCTTTGTGAAGGGGCAACATGCAGCGTTTTTGATGACATACTAGGGGTTGACTCAAAGGGTCTTTGTGAACGAGTGGTGTTGTTAGGTGGCCTCGAGGTTGAGGCTTAATCAGTAAACTGCAATTGGCTTTACAGAGCTGTACAGAGCTGTACAGCATCCCAGCTGTGTAGCTTAGTCCCTATTACCTAGCTTACTACAGTAGCCTACCTTTTTGTCAATCTCTGTACAGATGCTCACAGAATGCCCAGTGAGCACCAAATAGCTTGTAACAAGCTCTCAAATAGTGCTGGTTTCCTCTGTCTATCTCTGTACAGACACTTACAGACCGCTCAAAGAATGGGAGTTGTGCAGACAATGTGCCTTGTACACTTCACTCAAGCTTATTCACTCTGTACTAGTAGCCACAATTGAAATTGAATATTGAATCTCGGACAGGGAAAAATGAAAGCACATGATAATAGTACTAGTAGTGGACGACAAATCAGGGACGGAACATGTATTTAATCCAGAATGACCTGGAGGTGGTCATGTCTCGTCTGCGCAGCGCCACCGTCGAGCTTGAGATGTTCAGCCCTATATTAATGAAATTTTGAAATTTTCATGTATCATATACAAAAGAACTTACCATCCAGCTTCAGCCCATTCTCGAAGTTGTGCTGACAATCTAGGGCCGTGATACTCATCATCGAGGGTTTCTTTGATGATTGAGAGCATTCTCCGGTAGATGGGCGAGTATTCTTTCGAGGAGAAGTTTGGATAGGATTTACTGTTACCGTTCTTCTTAAGGCTGTCGAAAACGCAGTGGAACTGTAAAAAGAAAAGTCAACACAAAGGCATGACAATGAGGGGAGGAAAACAAATCACTGCCGTGGCAACTAAGGCTAAACACAATATGGGCAATTGAGTACGGAACCGGTCTGGCTGCCTCCGTGCAATCTGGTAAGGCCCTGTGTAAAAAAAGGCAATGGTGGCATCGTGGAGGGCAGGATTGGCAAAGTTCCTCGTTCTCCCCTGTTGGTCTTCTGTGAGTGTGGTTGCGATCAGCACAAGGTCACTTACATTCTGGTCTATTCCAAACCATAGATACAAACCACCCTCGAGTAAATCCTTAGCGGTGTTTTCGATCCAAGTTGCACATTGTTGAAGAGTGTTAAGACCGTGTTCAACGGGTCGGACCGGAGGGGCTTAGCTTCAGCTCGTGCGCTGCGCTCTTTACCCGAGTACATGCCCCTAATTTACAGGGGGGGTAGACATCGTCGGCCGAGGGGTGTGGACGGGCTGGACGAAAGAGGGAAGACTACCCGAGACTTCGTCCGGGTAGAAACTAACAAGGTATAGACTACCCGAAGGTAGAGGCGGAGGTATTTTAGCCTTAGGGATATAATCCCGAGGCTCGGAGGATCGGACTAGGACAATAAATCCTAAGAGCCGAGAGAACACGAGGATTGAACAGAGTCTAAGTTAATATTCGAACTGAGGAAATACTACGGGTTACAAAGGGTTTATATACTGTAGTATATCCGACGGGTATCCAGCCGAAGCGCAGTCTTCGGATCAGAGGGCTATGTAGAAAATGTACTAACAGATATGAACTGCTGCGGACGATCGAGAATGGAGCCGGAGATTAAATGAAACAAGGGGGACAAGTTAAATGAAAAGGAAATGAATAGACTAACGGACAGATCAGAATGAACCCGGACATTAACTGTCAGAAGGATCCGGGCATATAGGGGCATCAAGAAGCATATACAAATGGGGACATGGGGAAATGAATTCTAGAATGGAACCGAGAGAACGGACGGACCGGACCAGACGAGAAGCTTCAGGTACGGAATATGACAAAGAGGAACAGAAGGTGGAGGCAAAAGAGAGTATGATAGTGGTGCAATACATATTGCGGTCTTCTTCAGATCGGACCGCCAAGTCGACAGGTCGTCATACAACCACAATACAAACCCGTCAATGAAGCACAGTATGAACATAAGTAATATACGCACCAATCATGTCATGTTATATCGCTGCTCCAGCCAAACCCCTGCATCACAATATGAGACAGATTAGTGCGGGAACAAACAAGCACGTACCAGCTTCAAATTGTTTACCATTCTTGTCCCACATGACCAAAACTGAGAGTAGAACTTCGGAGATGGTTCCTGGCATTCCCTTGACTAAAGGCAGGAATGGGTTTTCCAGGGCATGCTGCCCGCGACACTCTCCTTTGGCCTCCTTGAGGAAACTTTTCCAGCGTGATCCATACCAAGCCAGTTGATCAGGCCTTGGCCCGCTATCAGATCTTTTGGATCTTTTGACTCTCGACCGACCCTGGGTTTGGTTGACAGACTCTGCCACTTGATTGAGGTGTTGGAGCAATTCAGGGTCAGGAGGCAAGGCTGACCGTTTTTATCGTGGTGGTGCTTCAATACATTGTCGGGCTTTGAGGCGGTAGTCTTCAAAACATCATGAGCCTCGTCGAAAACACAACCAATCCCTCACCTGAGTGTCTGACCATTCCTGCTCTACTCCCGGCAAGGTGTCCAGAAGCTTAAACAGGTGAGAAACTGTGAGCATGATCCAAATGAGTAACAAAAACTATACCTCGTGGCGGTTGTTGAGATGCATACGAGCAGAGTCATCATCTTCATCACATGAGTATTGGAATTCGAAATCCGGGGTCAGAGGGCGAGCAACTCGAGCCTGAGTAGGGAGAACTTCAGCTGAAAATCCTGCAAATGTAAATCAAGTCAGTGAAGGTACTCTCGATATGAAATTCTTACCTGGATGTTCTTTCTGCCGTCAGTGAGCTGCCCCCCAACCAAACTGCTGTGACTCGTTATTCTCTCTGTCATCTCCCTCATCTCCCTCATCTCTGTCGTCTCTGTCATCTCCTTCATCTCCTCCGTGTCCTCCATCTCCCCCGTCTCCTTTGTCATCTTTGTCAATGTCAATGTCGCTGCCACTACTGTTAGCTTCACTGTCCTCCACATCGGATCCTACCAGCCTTGCATGAAGTGTTTGCCTAACGACATCATCCTCCTTGTGCAGGGCCGGGTCCAGGTTGCGCTCTGAAAAGGTAGTGTTTGGTGGAGGTTGAGGACTGCGAGCTTGATCGACGAGAGCATTCTGGTTGTACTTCTCAGCAACCTTCATTCCCATGGTGATGTATGGGTCATTCAAGGCTTGAGGATTGGGCTCCATGCTAGGGGGGGCAGTATGTGTGGTAGTGGAAGCTGCAAAACCAAACCTCCCACCACTTTGCTGCGATGAAAAGCTGGGAAACAGGGTACTGGCAACGAGGTCTGAGGGATCAGGACTGTATGGTGGAGGGAGTACCTAAATGCACAATCAACACCGTCACAACATCCTGGGGATATGATATATCATTTACTACCATCAGAATAAAGCCGTGATAAATCAGGGCCTTTGACTTACCACAGGACTGTACTAGCACTAGTGATATATCACCACCCTACTATACACAGCTGCATTTTTCGCATTTTTTTAAACTCAGCTGCTTTTCATTCCAGGATACATTCTATATTTAGTGGAGTATGTTATGACCGCAATTTTGGCTTCCAAAAGCGGAAATTCACAAAACATATCCCATTTTGGTCACCTGCTCATGTCAGGTCTCCCCACATTATTCCCACACATCACATGTTCGCATTTTTCAGCCACACAGTGTGGGAATTGCCCCACAACACCAAAAAACATCGCCAAATATGGTATACCCCACAATGATAATTATTCCCACATTCTCCCCACCTCACTGCAGCTTCACCACCACACCACAATAGGTCCTCCTTCATATATAAGTAGTAGTTTGATATATATGTGTATAATATAATATAATAACCCACTTTTTTTGTGTATTTGTGTGCTTGCTCCTCCTCCAGGGCCCTTTCAAAATAGCCTAGGGTACAGAACATTTTCGCATTTTTGCCCCTTTGATAGGGAAGTGTTCTGGGGTATTCAGGACATATTTAGAAGTGTATATGAAGAGATTCCACCACTTTTTTGACCCCCTGAAGTAAGCTGCATCAATAGATATAGCAAATATACATGAAAACACAGAATATGTTCCCATGCATGTATTTCTATGTAGATGTACCTGTAAAATTTATCCCCGGCATCTATTAACCAATAGGAACAATGTAACAGGAGTCTAGGGTAATAGGACAAGACCCTGGGATGCAGTATACCTACCCTTTCCTGGTGGTTCACCCCCTGTGAATTTTTTTCCTGTAGGACTGGACCCCCAGGATGGTAGGGGGTCTACACCTATGCATATTTAAAGTATATCTATCACATAGATACCACAGGAAACCTACAGGGTCCTTCTACAGGAACAGAAATATGTGAAATCACATTTTTGACATTTTTGATATTTTCAATATCTTACCCTTGCACAAATGGACCACCCTGCTCATATATCATTAGCTACATATATATATGTGCTTTCTATACCAATGATCAGTTCACAATAGGCCGGAGTTTTGATCTAGTGTGTATACTTGCTATTTCTACTGATAAGGGTCCTATACCTTCAAAACATCGAAATTCACACAAAAGTCACATTTACATATGACACTGGTCAAATATTTTATTAAATTTCAATAGGATATATGATAGAGTACACAAGGAACCTATACTACACTTTGCCCTAAGGGTGGAAGATATGCGGAAGGGATGTGGTGATAAAGTAAGTTGATACAGCATTAAAGTCCTACTACCACTCAACTAACCATTTTCGATGTTTTGGACATTTGAACTTTCCCACACTCAATGTTTTATCTATTTCACTTCCCCAGTTCACAATTCTGGATGGATCCTTCTGTAGATTTAGTCCTGTTATACTGAATATATGTGAGATATGCTCCAGGTGTCTGATTATTAAATTTCGATGTTTTGAAGGTATAGGACCCTTATCAGTAGAAATAGCAAGTATACACACTAGATCAAAACTCCGGCCTATTGTGAACTGATCATTGGTATAGAAAGCACATATATATATGTAGCTAATGATATATGAGCAGGGTGGTCCATTTGTGCAAGGGTAAGATATTGAAAATATCAAAAATGTCAAAAATGTGATTTCACATATTTCTGTTCCTGTAGAAGGACCCTGTAGGTTTCCTGTGGTATCTATGTGATAGATATACTTTAAATATGCATAGGTGTAGACCCCCTACCATCCTGGGGGTCCAGTCCTACAGGAAAAAAATTCACAGGGGGTGAACCACCAGGAAAGGGTAGGTATACTGCATCCCAGGGTCTTGTCCTATTACCCTAGACTCCTGTTACATTGTTCCTATTGGTTAATAGATGCCGGGGATAAATTTTACAGGTACATCTACATAGAAATACATGCATGGGAACATATTCTGTGTTTTCATGTATATTTGCTATATCTATTGATGCAGCTTACTTCAGGGGGTCAAAAAAGTGGTGGAATCTCTTCATATACACTTCTAAATATGTCCTGAATACCCCAGAACACTTCCCTATCAAAGGGGCAAAAATGCGAAAATGTTCTGTACCCTAGGCTATTTTGAAAGGGCCCTGGAGGAGGAGCAAGCACACAAATACACAAAAAAAGTGGGTTATTATATTATATTATACACATATATATCAAACTACTACTTATATATGAAGGAGGACCTATTGTGGTGTGGTGGTGAAGCTGCAGTGAGGTGGGGAGAATGTGGGAATAATTATCATTGTGGGGTATACCATATTTGGCGATGTTTTTTGGTGTTGTGGGGCAATTCCCACACTGTGTGGCTGAAAAATGCGAACATGTGATGTGTGGGAATAATGTGGGGAGACCTGACATGAGCAGGTGACCAAAATGGGATATGTTTTGTGAATTTCCGCTTTTGGAAGCCAAAATTGCGGTCATAACATACTCCACTAAATATAGAATGTATCCTGGAATGAAAAGCAGCCGAGTTTAAAAAAATGTGAAAAATGCAGCTGTGTATAAGAATAGCCCACCCAAATGTGCAGGGCATACAGCGATATATCATCTGTGTTGAATGATATATCATTACCCTGTGTGTTAGTTCAAAGGCAGGGATATATCACGGATTTACTCTAATGAAAGTAAAATGATATATTATATTGACAACATCGCCTGACACCGTCAACAACAAAAATAGTGAGCTATACCTTTGGATGGCGCTTTTGGCCTTTACAGGGCGGTTCTGGAGCCTGGGGGTTCACTGGATTGAGTGTACCAAGAGATGTGGCACCCTTGGGCTTCCGATTCTGGGACTTAGCCTCTAACACTACCCCGATCTTCTCTAGCTGGGCATTCCTACCTCCTGTTCCCGCATTGGAGCGGCCAGAACGTCGAGGAGCAGCGTCCGCTGCATCAGCTTCAGTAAGACCAAGGGATACAAGCAGGGTGCTGGCAACGGAGCTTGCGGCACAAGGCTTCTTCGGTAAATTAGCCTTTGAAGCATCAGAGGCTTTCAACAAATTCCACGCGCATATGAAACACATCGACATCCGTTTTCACTTCATTCGCATGCACATCAAGAACAAGACCTTCCAATTTCGCTATTGTCCAACAGATGACAACGTAGCAGATGTGTTTGTGAAGCCACTACCTTGACCCTGGTTTGAGAAGCTTCGAAGCATGATGACACTTGGTCTGTTACAGTAACATGGCACCCCTATCTTTTTCTGACCTCGTCACAACATCACACCTTCACCTCTTCACGATTCACCATGCTGCTTGACGCACTTCTTGATCCCCGCCGACCCTGACCTTCTGTGACAGAAGCTAGACGCTTCCATTTGGACCCTTGATCTATGGCCTCATGGCCTTACTTCCTTTTCCCTTGATGTTCCCACTGAACCCTGACCCTGACCTCATGGACTCCTGCCTCCTCTTGCTTACCCGATATATCCTTCCTGACCCTTGTACGATTACCAGACCTGCCCTGAACACTGTGATCCCTACCTATATATAGTCGATCCACTCGTACTATTATTCCTTAACTTGATTCTACTGGGTTTTACCTTGACTTGTATATTCTCTTGAGTTAACTCTCTTGAGTCTGATCACGAACCCTCTATACTCTTGGATCGCTATCCTTGAGTCCGATACATCTTCTCTTAGACCGTTTGTCTTTGAGTCGATACCGATCCCTCGTCTAGACTCAACCGTCGAACACGAAACCCCCCTTCTTCGGCCGCTGCCTTAGAAGCTTACCTCCCCTTCCGTTCTGTCACAACCTGACGGCTTAGGCTACCAGGTATATTGACGTTCAACCGATACACGACACGATAGCTTAGGACCGTCGTCCTTCGCTTACCCATCCCAGTCCGACTACGACCGTTGTCGTAACATGGTCCTGCTCGAGGGGGAGTGTTGGGATCGGGAATATCGGAGGCAACAGAAGCGGAGACGACAGAATGAGAGACATAGTGCGAGCACGACCAGGTACTGACAGGTGACGTCAAGTGACACTCGACGTCTAGCATACAATGTCTCACCATGATCCCCCGCGACGCTAATATTCGTATAGCAACAGTTTTACCTTATAGACTTTGTACTTACCACACGAGCATCTCAGTCCCAATACCAGACTGAGATGTGAGTACTTGATTCTGTTTAGATTTATGATTGTGCCCTAACATTTACTAGTAGAATTGTTTTCTATCTACTAGGTACAGTACATTGGACTAGAGTCCCAATACCAGACTGAAATTAGAATTGTTTTCTATCTACTAGCGCCCCCTCGCCCGATCCACTCGCCTCTGATCTTCAGATTTTTCCCACACGTGTTCGTTGTTTGCCACCCATGGCAGACCGTGGTCGACGGTGTTGAGCACTAATCAGATATTTCTGAATATGTCAGTCTGTGTGGAGGCTGTGGGACACCAGTTTAAACCCTGACATTTGTGGTTTATCAGCTCTTATATGGGTTATGGTATGGTGTTGTAGTAGGTGAGATGTCGATGACGATGGTGGTGGGGGCTCTCAATTCTGACGTGCTTGGAAATTCACATTGTGACTCAAATATTGAATAGCACTAGGTCTTAAGGTAGACCAACAGCGTCGGGCGGCACCTAGTAGTGGTGCCACCCTTACTTGAACATGGTGGTTCAAGTCCAAGAAGCCCCCCAATGTGAGAGGTTGAGGGATAAGATTATGCTGGGTTTGAACAGTCATAGTCATGTGTAGTGATATGCCGGCCCGGCTTGGCCTGAAAGCCGCGGCTTTGGCCTGGCCTAGGGCGGCTTTGGCTTTGCAAAACCTCAGGCCGAGCCGTGAGCCAAAGCCAGGCCAAAGCCGCGGCTCGGCTCAGGCCCATCACGGCTTTTGAAATGGAAAGTGATTAATTTTGAATAGACTAATGTGCAGACAGGGCACGAAAAAAAACTCACACATGCACTTCAAGTATTCATCCAACGGGTTACATCAAACAAGTTCTGCAAATCCTACCCTTGTATTTGCATAATCGAATATTGAATATGCGTGACCAAGAGGTGTGTGTTCGGCGAAATCCGAACACTCACACCTTTCGCACCTCCCCCCCAAATCAGTGTTCGGGGTCCTGATCGGATTCAATTGGTTGAAATATGCAGTTCTCGCTGAGTCTTTGCACAGCGCCTTGGAAACTTGATATTATCTTAGTTTGCAAAGGGAACATTGTATCTAAATTGTCTTTAGCATAGTCCTAGATACATATATTAGCAAGATAACACCAGAAAGAATGTGAGGTCGTGTCTAATAGCTGCAGCAAGCAAAATTAACAAGTTTCCAAAATAAGCTATGACGCAAGGACTGTAAGTGATCGAGTGGTCAACTCGTATATAATGAATGCGTCTCTCGTCGCGTCTCGTTTGCATCTCTCTTCTCTTCCTTCACCTATGATACTCCCTTCTTGCTTTCAATACCAGGACTTTTGATACCATTATGCCCAACATCATGCCAGCAGACTCTGAGTCCGGTTTTAATTTTACGTTTGATGCCTCGAGTTTGATTGGTGCCTCAGCACATGACTTTAATAATGACTTTAATCCATCACAGCGGCCTGGCGCAACGCTTTTCACGGCTTATCAGTATCTGTCTGTTGATCCGACTCCATCCGACTCCGCCTCGAGTTTGACACACATAGTCCACCCCTCTCATTACACGCCGTCTCATTCTTTGCTTCCAGCTTTAAGTTCTCAATCTTCGTCCGACTCCAGCAATCTCACTTCAACTCTTGACCCAACCACCAAGGAACGCCTCTTAATGGAGGCTACTGGTGAAGCTTTTCTTACACTTTTTCAATACAATGAGCTCGAGGTCCAAGTCAACGACTCAAAAGTCTGGGAACTGCGTTGTCCTCGCGGGTGTTGGATCAAGTCCGGTATTCGTAGCCATGTCAAGCTCTCGAGTCGTGGTCAATTCATGGCCTTAGAACAGCACTATGGTGCTTGTCGCAATTGAAAACTAAAGGTTCGCAGTGCCATTAGGGAATCTCGAGTAGCACTTGCCGTTCTTAGGCCTACTCTGTCGCAAGTACCCGTCATACCGTGAGTCGATCTTCGTGTGTTATCCGACTACTGATCAAATATACCATGTTTATTAGCACTGCTGCTGCTACTCCTCCCAGTGGTACATCGGAGGATTTGGTTCCCACTGTGATTGCGCTGTCACCTTGTCCGGGCTTCCGCATCCTTAATTGGCCCATGTCTGATGGCACACCTGTACAAGCCAATCTTCCATGGCTACGTACAGCGGAGGGACTGGACAAACTCTCATTTGACCTTGAGGTTGTCTCTCGCAAGGCGCTTGCACGCTCTTTTGACTGCACTGGTCAGGCTGGCGATGATGCTGGACCATGTGACTTTTGTGCTCACCTCGAGCCAAAAGTCAAGGTACTTGCGGAGAATGCGAGAACTCGTCAACCACACACCCGCCATAGTCTTCTCACTCCAGTTCAACTTCTCGACATTATACGTGAGCGTGATCAGAACACGAACACTCTGAAGTTACAGGTGAGACAACCAGTCTTTTTCTATGTGTGCTTCTAGGCTCACAATTGATTTCAGAGTTTGAATGACGGACGCAAAATCAAGCGCCTGCTTTCCACACTGGAAGATCACACTTCACTGGCCATGGCACTGTCCCAGTGCGACGTACCCTGGCTTCGCAACCTTCTCCAAACTGCACTTCGGAATGGTACCAGCATCCATACAATACTTCGGATGATTGAAGAGGCCATTGAGCGTGGTTACCGACCACGAGGACACAGTCAAGAGGCCATTGACCTTGCCATTCTCACCGTCCGGCTTGGTGGCCGGAATCTGCTTTATGCCTGGAACCAGTGGCTCACACTCCCATCACTACGCACTCTCCGCAACCATATGTCTTTTGTCAAAATCATTCCAACTATCGGTCGGATCTCAACCATGACCATCCAAGAGAATATCAAGAACCTTGTCATTGTTCCTCGTCAGAACGCTGCATCAACGAAAATGTGTGGTGTCAGCATGATGATCGATGAAACGGCGCAGGAGGAAGCGGCCGTCTATATATCACAATTGAACAGTGTAGGCGGTCTATGCTGGATGCACTCGAATCTTGTCGACACAACACTTCACACATATCAGTCTGCCCTTGGGATTGCTGAGGCGCTGAAGTCTCAGAAGGTCCACGTTGGAAAGGAGGTGACTGTCGCGGGAGCTCACATATTTGGCGAAGAGGGAGTTTATCCTGTCCTGGCAGCGCCCACTTGCAAGAGTGAGAGTGCTGCTGACATGGAGTTCATTTTCAAGACTATCCTCGAATCCTGGGATAATTCTGGAGCGGCTCAGCAGGTTGGACCAGCTTGGTCATTTGCAACTGACGGTGACGCTACACGCCGCAAGGCTGGTCACAGGACATTTGTACACATCCCACTCTCACCCTTCTCACCGCTCTATGGCACATTGTTGAATCTTCCTGGCGTTAATCTCTTCACTGGTCCAGGTGAAGTGACACTAGACTTTGACTACAAACATATCATGAAACGTGCGTCTTTCATGACTAGTACTTTGATATCTACTAACACTTTCAAAGGCTATTGTACCCTCCTCCGATCTCGTGCTGGTATGCATCTTAACAATGGTCGCTGCATCAATGCAACCATGATCGAACGCTACCTTGTCTGGCTGCCTGATGTAGATGAAAGTCGTGCTCGGAAGCTTGTTTACCCCAACGATCCCCAGGACATGCCTCGTGCGGTGGAACTCGTGGGTGCTGTCATCAAACTCGCATCACTGCCGAACATCCCCGACGACGTCAATGTCATTGCTGACTTCGACGCAATCAAACTTTTAGCTGAAATTCTCCGCAGTCTCCTCAATCCATTCATCGATGTCAACCTCTCACTGACTGAGCAAGTCGTGCACTTGAGCCGCTTCACTCATCTCCTCTTTGCATGCTACCGTGATCAACGACGTGGGCTGATGCCTAACCAGCTATACTATGACTCTGAGACATTTGCCAAGAACGCGGTCTTCTGCATCCTGAAGCAACAGAAGCTCGATCCATCTGAACATTTTTTCTTTCTTGATGTTGGGGATGATGCACTTGAACTCAAGTTTGCATTCCTCCGAATGTGCGGGGGGCACAACAACGCAATGAACTACAAACAAGTTCTCGATCGCCTTGGCGCTGCCCGAGATATTGGAGGAGTGTATGCACGCAATTCCGACCTCTCCCATGGCCATCGTCGGTTGAATCTCAAGCGAGCAGACGGTGTTGACCATGTCAGCCGTTTTATGTGGGTTGGTGACGTTGTTGCGGGTCATTGTGACCTTCCAAGTGCATGGCACCAAGGGAGGGATGAGGCCATTTCAATTCTCTCTTGGTCGCAGATACATTCCTCCGCATATGACTTTCAGACCTTATTTTCCCCAGGCTCGGGCATAGACCTACTGTGCATCTTTGGTGGGAGCAGGTACCCTGCTATTCATGAAGAGGATGACGAAGACATATCACTCCTTGCACCTCCGCCCAACATCGACACACTCCAGCAAGATGTTGTGTCCAGCGAGACCGCAGACACCATCAGCAATGATGATGACGAGCCGCCACTCACCTTTGAGGAATCACTTGCCGACACACTTGACGCCGAGCACGAGGATGGAAACAGTTTGGTGGACGAGCCCGAGGATGATGAAAATTCCCCCTCACCTACTTCTCCCCCCAATGGGCCAGGAATCCGTGCTGAAGACTACCTCTGGTGCATGAACAAATGGGTCCACAAGGCATCGGTTGTCCATATCACGATCACCCCAGATTTCACTCCCAAAGCCCAGACTCGTTTGCTCTGTGTTCGCGGATTCACGCCTGTAAACAAGGACTTCGAGAACACCATGGAGGTTGGTCAGCTGCTTCACAGTGATCAGTTCGTCACCGGTGATCTCTTCATCACGCTTCTTCGAACTAGCATGAAGTCACTGGCTCTTGCTCTGGTTCGCGCTACCACCATCTCTGAGAATGGAGCCCCCAGGAGTAGAGTCAAAATGGCAACGCTGACGTCTCTCAAGGGCAATGTGAAAGTCGCCGGTGAAATCATGATTCTTTTACCATCATCCTCGTCTTCAACCTTATCGTGGATCTGGAATGGCGCGTATCTTAAAACTGCATCTGTCGTACCAGGAACAGAAATTTGTACTCTCAAAGTCATCACCGTCACTGTTCCAGGCTTCCTTGTTCAAACCGTCAATCCTCGGGTTGTCATTGCCGCTGATCATCTTGCACCTCAACACACCCAGGAGGTAAACTCCAAGGGCACAACATGGTCACTCGACGACGAGGACCTACAATCTGCCGTTGCACTACTCTGGAACAAAACTGTCGACTCCAAAGTTCCCCTCAGTTTGATCTCAAGTCTCAATTCTGAAAGCTCTGTTTTTCCCTACAAGTCTCATGATGGTAAGCGTCTCTCGCTCTTGCCGTAACCTTATGCTGATTTTTTCTTCAAGGTTCTGATGCTCTTATTTGTGCCGCCGGCACTGAGTTGCTGTTGACTACGGGACGTGGCAAGACGGTCATGAGTGCATGTCCGGTATGTTGCGAGTCAACGAAGGACATCCGTTCGCACATGGGTGTGCATATTCTCCGTGCAGCTCGTAAGGTCGCCGATATTGTTGTCAATCCCATCAACGGCCCGTTGCCTTGTGGCTTCTGTGGCGACTCAAACAACCCCGACTGCGCACTTACGTTCAAGGAGACAGCTCGCAAGATCATGTGGGAGTCAAAGTGCCCACGCAAAGAGACCTTCCAGTATGGGAGTGCTAATAAGGGCTCTGACAGCCGCCCGTGTCATAACGTCCCCGTCGTCTGCCAGATATGTGTCCATCTCGGTCGTGCTACTGATTGGTGTCCAGCGGTCTGGCGTTATAACCTCGAAGCCCATATCGACCTGCAGCACTCTGAATATGCACAACCTGGCAGGCCAATTGGACTTCCCCTTCCCCGCGCTGTGTATGATTCGCTTGCTCTCACTCCTGCCGAAGAAAAAAAGGCCGGAGTCGCTTCTCGACCCGTATTTGAGTTCATCCAGGGCAAGGAGAATATCCCTGGACCTGACGGTTCATCTGCTGTTACCCAGAAGCGGAAGGCCAATGCTCAGAAGTTTTCCTCTGCCGCTTCGGTGGCTAAGAGAGTTCGTCAAGGTTGATTCTGCGCGCTATATCTACAAATCGGACTCAGATGTTGCTCACTGCACTTGTTAGTTACTTGTTCACTCGTTTTCATTATGCTTTGCTATGTTTCCCGTTGCTTTCCCGTTGCTTTCACGCTGCTTTCATGCCTTGCGTACTAGTATTAGCTGTTTCCCGGGTCCTCGTATTCCAATGTCATGTTTCGATCATCTCGCTGTCCCAATCCGACAAAATCATACTACATAAGGAAATTTTGGCCACGTGGACCCCCTCCCCCTCTCTGTCGAAAAATTGACATGTTGGTGTCGTGATCCTTTGTATTGCACACCTCTTGCACGTGACAATCATAAAATCTGCGGTATAACAAGATCGTCATCCTGGGCACCGTATAGCATTTCTTCCTCCTAGGTGCGTGACAATCGTGAAATCTGCGGTATAACGAGTTCGTCATCCTTGGCGCTCGACACATCAGGAGTGTTATGATCAATGACGCTGCATGTGACTGTGATAGCAGGAGTGAACACCTGGGTAGCCCAATTAGGAAGCCTTACTAGGCTGAACGATAACGTGCCTCGTCAACTATAATTAGGCTAGGATGTAGTAATATCCAGACACCAGTATTAAACCGTGCCCCAAATCACCTTGTATCTCTACCACCACCAAAGCCTAGTACTAATGTTTAAGTAAGCTGGCGCCCCGCCCCAGGAACGTATACCGCCGCCGCGCTCAATCCGGCACTTCCCGCAATGCGCCTATTTTCGTCATAGAGGTTGATTTGTCGGGTTCCCACGACCTTTCCCTTATCCCGACCACATAGCAGGCTGCTCACTGCAGGCAATCGCTGCCGCCTCTATAGCCTGGCCACTGCCCTCTACAACATCTGCCCAAGGCCACCACTGCCCTCTACAACATCTGCCTCATCTGCCTCACCCAAAATCCCAGCACCGCAGTCGTCTCTGCGCCCCCAGCACGTTGCTTGCAGCATTCTGCCTCCCATCCCACTCTACAACACCTGTCCCAGCACGCTGCTTGCACCAACCTGCCTCCCACCTTGTTATCCTTGCCCACCACCGCCCTCTACAACCCCTGCCCAAGTGGTCTGTGCACCCACCAACGCTCTAGTCTCGGCTACTCACCTACACCCACAGAGTCATCACTTAGGGATTGCACTATTCAGATATTCACCCACCAATGCTCTAGTCTCGGCTACTCACCTACGCCCACAGAGTCATCACTTAGGGATCGCACTATTCAGATATTCACCCACCAACGCTCTGCTCTCAGCTACTCACCTACGCCCACAGAGTCATCACTTGGGGATTGCACTATTCAGATATCACTCTTGCTCCTCATGTCTCGTGGAGGAGGGTATCATAAGCTCAAGGGCCTCTCAAACTCGGTCATCACACACAAATTTCGAGGGAGACAGCGCCAATCGCGTATTCTGACAGCTGGCCGGCAGCTTCAATGCAGGGAAGTTACAGATGCAAGCCGTCAGGCTCAAATTCAAGGTATTTCTTTGCTTTATAGTTTTTATCGCCTGTAACTCTAACCCCCACGTCCCACTCATGTCAGAGATGTCCAATGAGGATCGCCATATGGTGGAGGATATGATGGCTGACTGCGGCATGGATATTGAGACCCTGCCGCTCACGGCACCTCCTGGAGACGAAGGGATGGAATTCAGTCATGCAGGTGGAGAGTATGAAGCATTCGAAGGACTTGCTGAGCAGATCGCAGATATCAGTGGCTAGCACGTATGGTTTTTATCTCTATATTCTCTCACTCATACCATATACTAGTCGCTATGTTGACCTCCGCACTCGACAGGACCGCACAGAAAATCAAACCGATCAATGGGACCTTCAGCTAGACCAGCTTGTCGATGCTTACCTCGACTACCGTTCTCGCGACTCTGGTGATGGGATGCCGACATTCAAAGATCCGGAACCACCTTTATGCGATTCTCCTAGTGTTTCATTGACTAACATTGAACTTGTTGATATATTTAGTACGTACAATTTTTTTTTTTACTTCTACATACCCTAACTCATTTGCAGCACGAAGCCACAGTTCACCTCAATCACGGCTCTCACACAAATACCCCAATGAGACATTGATCTATCATGGCTACATCGGGTGCTCACCAATTTATCCAACAGTTGCCATATCACTGCGCACTCTTGCAGCCTACCGTCAAATACATCGAACTTGCCCTCGGTTCAGTGTCCAAGCCCAAGTCAAGAGTCTCTGTTTCCTGCATGACGTACGTATAAATCGCATCTTATGACTTCGCTAATGATGCTGTCATAGTCTCCCTATCGACCATACCTTTGCGTGCAATTTTCAGCCGCTTACAATATTTATCTGGAAATCATCCACCGTGTGAATCAGCGCCTTCGCAAGGCGCTGAAACATGACACACCGCATTGGCGCATGCTTAACGCATGCCCAGCATGCTTCTACGTGCTGGAGGACGAGCCTGCTCTAGAATTCGATTGGCTGGTGTCTATAGATGGCAACAATAGTCTGAAACGGTGGGACTCCGCGATCTACGGCTCAACCAGGCGTACAGATTCTCGTAAGGCACGGTCGGACTACTGGCTTGACACTTGTGATGTAGACAGGTTCAAAGATGAAGTCAGAACACGACAGGTAAGACGTCTCTCTGTGCACAACTGTAGTCTGATTATGCTATGCAGAGGGATTCGGACGATGACAACTGGACAGATGAAACCACCGCAAACGAAGGTGCTGGGACATTCACGTGCGTCAACCGGTGGCGTAATGCCGGACCAGACACTCGCAAAAAAATGTTCTCCGTATTCGATGAATCAGGTATTTTCATCGCAGTGTGTCGTCATCGATTCGTTGTTCTGGCATGCGACATGGTCCGGAGTGGGGAATTGTTAGGTTATTTTTCCCTCATCTTTATCGTTGCTGAGCTATAATTCTACAGGGCTAAATATCCGCTTGCTATTATTGAGAAGCTCCTCGCAGTGTATGGGAAGAATGGCGGCTGTGCCTACGACATCGGATGCGCCTTTTCGAAGACTTTAACTAACAGTTCCCTGGGAACGCAAGCACGCGAGTTAGATTTTCGGCTCATGGTAGGCGCCTTTCACGGACACGCCCATAACCGCAAATGCCAGCTAGACTGGCATCCCATGACCATTCTGGGAATCGGACACACTGAGGGCGAAGGTTGTGAACATGTATTCTCGTCATCAAATGAGCTTGCTCGCAGTACAAGACATGCGACCCCATTCCACCGGCGCCAGACAATCGAGGAGCACTTCTCGTTCTGGGACGCTGACAAATATGCCGCGCTCAGTGCGTAATTTTTTTTTTTCAAGTCCATCAATTATGCAACTAATGAACGATCAGGCACGTTTCTTTGGAATCATTATCGAGAGGGATTAAAATCGATTCAGACGCTCACCGCCGAGCTCACAGCCATCAAGGCCGAGTTATTTCTTACTGATGAAGATTTCCCGCGATTTCTTGATGAAGAACGTAATTACCTTGACAGATTGAAGCTGCCACCAATTCGGGATCAACTCTGCATACGCTACGTTGAGGTTTTGGACGAACTTGCCGAACGGCGGTGAGTAAAGTTTACATACCGTAATCGAGCCTATCTCTGATATGTCTGATCATTCTAGTGCTGATTGGGATGTAGCTTGCGAAGTTGGCAACAACGCCCTTACTAATATCCCCACTGGAGGCTTAACGCAGATCAACAGTGCCCTCGCACAAGCTCGTATTCGAGTTGACTCTTCATACATTAAGCTACAGAACGCCGAGGGACTTGTCGCGCATATAGAGGCTCAGTTGGCCGTGGACCAGCGGTGGGAGATTGGTGGACTGGAGTACCAACGTTTCAAGGAAGAAGCGAGCATGGGCAAGTATCGCACCGCCTTAGATGAGCTAGAGCGCCTCGTTGTGATGAGGCTGTTCGAGCTCTCGAAACTGTCATTATCAGGAACCGGTAAGCTCGTTTATGTCAAAATACGCACACTGATGAATTTATTTATTTTGTAGGGTACAAGCTACGGCAGCAGATTGGCAAAGCTCTACAACGTCGTTCAGAAGCTATTCGCAATGCCATTATTCGCTACAACACTCAAGCCGCCGGACTCAACCCACCGCGTCCGAATATTTCTTGGAAAGATATTGCTGATTATGGCTTTCTAGGCGAATTTGATCTTCTGCGTCATTCTCGCGATGACATTCGAAGCAGTGATTGGTCGAAGCCGGGTCATTGAGAGGCCACCACGAAATACTTCAAGCTTCATCGAGCTCGCGAAGAAATCACTCGTTTAAACGTTGAAGTTCGGCGCCTGCGCACCGCCATCCATGATGAAGAGCTTGGGGTGTCTGACGTCATGCAGGAACTTCTCGTTTCAGACCCTCACCTGGCCTGCGAGCTACAGCGCCAATATCGTTCGCGCCTGGCTATCAATGCAGTGCATTGTTACTGGTTGAGTCGCATTGAGAAACTCGCAGGTTTTTCGGGAGCCAAAGGTGTTGGCGTCCGCCTTCAGCGCGCTGGTGAATCTACTCGTGATGCTGATCAAGTTGGCCATCGTGGTATGTGTTGTTTGAGTACATAGATCTCATACTAATCTATCTCACAGGACAACCGCTGGGGAATATTGCGAGTTTCCAGGTCAATTCTGAATCCCTCGAGAACACTGACCTTGACGCCATTGATCAAGAAGAACAAGATGCATTGACGGAAGAGATGGCTGATTATTTACAATCGATTGTTGACTGACTTGGGCACCACCTACTCGACATTGACTTGAGCACCAGTTACTTACCTCTTAGTTCATTAGTTCTGTATGTCTAGTTGTGATATAAACACTGTTTCCCAACACCCCGTCAGACGGAAATGCAGAAATGCGTTAATGTAGCATACTAAGGTGGGATATGCGATAATGTAACATACAGCTGTACATGTAGGATAGATAACGCGCGATAATGTAGCATACAACTGTACATAGGATATAATGTAACATACAACTGTAGGATAGAAAATGCGATAATGTAGCATACATATAATTGCTGAGCGCTGAGCCTCCGAACTTGAATTATAGTGCATGCAAGAACATCAATCTGTATGCGAGAACATCAATCTGTGTACATAATACTATAGCCATTACACCTCACAGCATTACATGTATAACACCTCACTTCTTCAACCACACCTCACATCCAACAACTCGCATCCATGAAACCACCGCCCTCTCCACCACCCTTCATTCTGGCGTCTTCCACCAACTTGAAGAAGCCATCTTCAAGTTCAGGTGCCAAAACAGTGGGATACCACCGCTTCACTATGTCAGGTCTTGCGGCTTTGTATACTTCTACTTTCGCACCAGGTTTCAGCAATAATGAGCGGCAAGCTGCTGCACGAGCTCTGCTTAGGCACGATGCTCATATTGACGGTACCCACTACCAGACGAGGAGAGCGGGGGGTCTTCACCCATCCTACCTCGGCTTCAATCAGCCAACTGACGTGAACGAGGCAGAGCGGACCCTGACTCACAGCGAGCTGGGCGAGGCAGCCCTCCAGGATGTCTTTGATGCGGTCAGTTGTTTCTACCTTTCTTTTTCTTAAACCTCACGATATTTCTCAGATCACTATGCAAGACCGTCTTGATGGTGGAATATCAATTCTGATTCGATGCACTGGCAGTGAAGCGACTCCGAATATCTCGCCCGAACAATTTCCCATCGATGTCTATATCACGCCCCGCGAGCTGCAAGAATCACAGCAGAGAATTGGCGGAGATTTTGCTGTCTTGGTGCAAGCATTTGCGCAGGAATTCGTGGTACCCTCATCTCCAGCGCTTTACGGCTCGTTGTGCTGTTGAAAACGTGAAACCCCCAAGGCACTGTAAGTACTTCACTATTTATTTCATTATTTAATTGCTAATGAAGCTCTCAAGTCGCAGCAACTCATATCAGTGCCAGTGGTCCACCACATCTCCCTCCACCCACAGTGGCCACAGGCGCTCGCATCCAGTGCTCGGCGCAAGCCTCCAAAGCCTTCTCCCCGCTACCTTCTTCGGACTCCGCAGCTCTTCGGCATGGAGCAGAATTGGCTCGTGGATCAGGGAACAAAGCCACGCCATCGACACCACGCTCCGAGATACGTCAACGTCGTCCGGCCGATATATTTGCCAAGCCTAGCCCACTTGCAGCGGTACCAAAATATGAAGGACTCGCTTGTGATCCTTCAGTCTTCGAGGCACCGTTGATCAGTATTGGGCCACGCACGGATGCCGCTCTTGATCATTTGAGATTGGGTGACGAAAACTTGCCAAGGCTCCGTTCTTTGATCAGCAGTGTTCGCAGTAGTAGATGGGAGGCTATACTGAGGTCTCCAGCATGGGACCTCAACTACGAAAATGCTTCCATTTTAGCTAACGCTCTCCTTGTAGACTTACAAGTGGGTATGAAGGCCGTCAACCCTGAGGTCGCTAATTTGGAGGTTAGTGATCTTCCATTCTGCGAATTTTTTCAAGTTGATCTGATTAATGTTTGTGCATAGCACCGATCATCGGTGCTTACCACGATCCTGAAACTTCTCGGCATTTTGGTTTTTTTGTGTGCGCTTTACCTTTTTGGTCTTTTATTACTGTAGATCTTAAATGTTGGTTTGTTAGTATGCAATAATGTGTCATTTCGTCCCGATCATGGACTTCAAACAAACATGGACCTGGTGCGTTAAATAGTTGAGAAAATATTTGACCATTGTTTGTTGACTCGTCTCTGCTGGTTCTCCTGATGGTCACCCAATCCTTTTATGCTAAGAAGCGTGTAAGCGGCGCAAAGCATATTCAGCCACCCACACGTCAACGTGCCAAGGTCGTGCTCAGCAAAGAGGCTCGCGCTGCTCTCAGACTTGACCGACGTGCAAAGTCCCTTCGATTCAAGGATTCTTTAGACGATGCTTGGAAGCAGCTGGACGACGCTACCAAAACCATCGCTACTACCCACCATAAAAGTATCCGGCGTGTTCAAAATGATTTGTATGTGGGTCGGGGGCTTCTCCGCTCGAAACGCTCAAAGCCGAATCTATGGAATGTGTTTTGCTGGAAGAAGAACCAGGATAGAGAGAACGGTGAGTTCATTTATTTATCACACACTTCATCGTGCGCACCGCTCAATTTTTTTTTGTAGAAGCCCACGGTAAAGCTGCACTCCAATCACTCGTGCATGATCACAAGGCTGAGTACCTTGCCCTCTCGAGGGAGGAGCAAGACGAACTGCTTGCCGAGTTCACTGAATGGAAGGATACGAAGACTACCGGTATTCGTACCTCAACGAAGTCGAAGATAAACGACATCACACAGACCTTAAAGCGGTCGAAAACGAGGTACGTTCTTAGTCGATTTTGATTGAATTTCTCTCACACGACCCCCCTAAATTTTAGCTCATCAGTCTGCATTGTCGTACGGGTGCAGAGTCTATTCTCTACACTACACGCGGCTCTACCGATCTTCCCCTTCGAGGTATCGCATTTTCCACCGACGGTGTCGAAAATTTTATGGGTACCGTCATGGGCATTGATAACCAAGACTTAGTCAGTAAAATGGAGGGTTTTGCAGTACAAGGCATGCAAGGTGAGTGTCTGCCTACTAGTATCGTGTTCTCTGTCTAATTACATTCAGGTTCTGCCAAAAACCACAAGAAGCGCGTCTCCGACAAACGTTCAGAAATCCGGGAAATTATCAACAGAAAACTTCGTGAGTATTGATTCTT